TTTCTCTTGCTACACATGGTAATCGAGATTGGAAAAATATAGGAAATATTCTCAAAAATCACGAAAATTCGCCTTATCATAAAAATGCATTACTAAATTGGAAAGAATTAGAAATAAGGGTGAAAATGGGAAAAACTATAGATGATGTTAACCAGGTGATTATTAGGGCGGAAACTGAACACTGGAAAGCTGTTATTAATCGTATAATATCACTTATTAAAATTATGGCTGGACAAAATTAAGGATTCTATTGACTTTACCTGTAACTGCTGCAACAGCCGAGAGGAGTTTCTCAAAACTTAAAATATTAAAAAATTATTTGCGAACAAATATATCTCAAGACCAATTAGTAGGATTAGCCACTCTATCTATTGAAAGTGAAATTGCTGAAGAATTAGACATGGATGAACTTATACAGAGCTTTGCTTCACTAAAAGCAAGAAAAGTCAATTTTAAATAAAATTAAGTTTGTTTTATTTTATTTTATCAATATTATTATTATAATTTTTATTTCTTAAAATTATGACAAAGGTTTAATTATTTGTAAGGTTAAAAGTGAAAAATATTTTATAAAGCAATAAATATTTGAATATATTATTATGAATTCTTAAAATGTAAATATGTGTACCTACCTAATGAATTTATATTATCAGTTATATTATATAACTGTACAAATATGACATTAATATAAAAAATATATAAAAATAACCCAATAGTCCCAACACTAGTTGTTATTCCTTTAAAATAAAAAAATAAAAAAAAATTTTCATGTAGGTGTTTATGTCACATAAAAAATAGGGGGAGGGGCTAAGTTTAAATTAGAGCTCAAATTTTTTTAGAGGCGGCAAATTTAGGTTTTGCCTAGTGCACTATTTTTGCTTGAGCCGGCCCTGAAAAACATAATATATTATGCAGATTATTTGTATAAATACTTCACAATTTACATTGCCCAATATCCCTCAGACATTGTATACAATGCCCGGGCATTGTATACATTGTCAGAATTTTCCACTTCGCCCGTAACATATATAAATATATAATATAAAATGAAAAGCTAATATTAAATTATTATTTAAAATTATTTCCAGTTGTATCTAGCTTATACATAATATAATGATAGTTAATAACTAATGACTTATAAGTTAATAAGTAGGTATAATATTGTGAAATAATAATAACTTAATAGGTATAATAGTTAATGAATAATAATTAAAAAACACACACACACTCGTGCTCACGATTATTTAAAAGTCATATACTATTATAAAGTTATTTATACCTACGTAGGAAAACGAATCGAAATGTGAAATACTCACGAGGAAGACAAACGAAGACAACGAAGAAACGAAACGCTACGAACAGCAAACCTTACCGATGCAGCAGTCAATATTAAAGCTCGAAGAGGCCGCCGAAGGGATGCAACGTAGCGTGGATGAGTTGAAGCCATTCGAAGTAAATAAACTAAATACAAATTAGGTTTTACTACTTTATAATTTTGAGTATTTCGTTGTTGATTTGTGGGCGCACAACAATCGAGTTTAATTTATAAGTACCCTTGGTCCTCGAGCGACCCATCATAATAATTTAACCTCCAGAGCTATATCTTTATTGTTTTTGTAGCCTATAAAGTGTAAGTACCTATACATACATTTGTTTTTATTTTGGTTTCCTAGGATTTCCTCGAAAAAGTTGTGGAGGAGTCAAAAGAGTTTAGAAACATAGATGACGTTATAAAGAGATACGAAAACTTGACCAATATACGGAAAGAATTAGCTCAAAAACACGAAAAGAAGACTGCGGATTTGAAACGGTTAACAACGGACGTGTTTAGACGTTCAAAGGTATTAGTTATATTTAACGATACTAGTATAGTCAGTACCTAAACTATATTATTATTATATTACTATACAATTTATACATGCGTAATTTATTACTATCACATATACTCGCAACTCGCATATTTTAACGAGTATGCCTTATGCATAATATATTGATACAACTGGTAATAAAATGTATAAATATTATAACTTCCTTCAACATTATGTACTGCAGGAAACGAGCGAAGAGGCTGAGCACGTTTCTGTCGAAATGGCTGATGTCGTTGAATCATTGGGGAAAATGAAAGACGAGATGATCAAGACTGACCTGGCTTATCGCAAGATCGAAAACGTTGCCAAAGAAAAGAAAATCGAGGGTGATTTGGTACGTAATATGAATATTTAAAAGTGTTCTAAAATATGATACCTATATAACATCGTGAAATACGAATTTTATTGGTATCGTCCTGAGTGTCTATATTACATTACAGGTGGCCGCATCTGTGTGGAATATCTATAAGCAAATGTGTCGGCGGGTAAAAAAATCTGTACCCAACAAAATACCGGACATAGAAACTCAATTGGCGTTCATTGCCGAGGAATATCAACAGCTGACCAAAGTATTGAACATGGCTGAGAAAATCAAAGAAAAAACCAACAAAAGGGAGATTCTGAGAAACTGAAAGGCCATGCTGATGTATAGTGATGTATTCATAAGCGTAGGTAGGTCAAATTTTTTGGAGAGCTAAAGGCAGACATGTAAAGACTCGTGGGGGGCTTAGCCCCCCCCAAATCCCTCAACAAGTGTATATATCTGCAAATATCTTCATCATAAAATACAAATAACGTGTGACAATCTAAGGTTTTATTATAATATTCTTTTTTTTTTTTTTATGTGTTTTTTTACTTATAAAATTAAACGTTTATTTTCTTTAGAGTATATCACTAAAATATCATTAGAATTGATACTGTTTGATATATATCTTTCAATATTGATAATAGCTAAAGACGAAAAATAATCATGACTCATGATGGTGGACGGTGTATAAGTATTAATTCTTCGCATGGTTGAAAAGGACCTTTCACAAGACGCTGAAGAAATTGGTATACTTAAAGCCAACGCCAAGTTCAGTAGTTTGTACAGGTTGGGAAATGTTTCACTTTAAATGTATTTTTAATATGAACTTATTTTTAGATTTTTAGTTTCTGAACCCTCTTCTTTCCCCAGGCAGTTTTTATCTACTATAATTTTCCCTTAAGGACATAATATCGACAAATGAAAACAACGCACTATTGTATAATATTTTATAACTTATAAGAAATGTAATGAATAAAATGGCCTAAAACATATACAATTGATTTTATCCATATTTAATTATCGTACAAATTATTGGTTTGAATATTTTTTAAATTTAGATGGCCCGAAGTTTTTGGAGGGGAGGCTATTATTCAAACTGGGAGGGGGGCTAAGCCTTGTTAGTTTTCGTTCAGCTAACTCATAATATAATAATTATAATAATCTTTATTTCTTGCAAAACAACAATATACATATTATTATATGTATATGACACAATAAATTATACTGCAAGCTGCAAACTCCCCTATAAGCATAATGATTGTGGTGGAGATGAATATTATTTGGTATTACTATGTTATTATAATGTATTATAAATGTATAACACTATATTGTCGAGTATGAACATGATTCTTGTGTTTTTCTCATGTACCTACATGGGTATACAAATATTTTTATTGTAAATGTGCACAAATGCATTTAAAACGTTGTAGGTATAATAATAGCATAAATAACGTTTCGGGTTATCTTTATACCTGCCAGTATTTTATTATGTTAAAATAGAGTTATGAATACAATATGATATTATGACATCGGTTTAGTGACGGCTGACGGGTAGAAACTAAAAAAATGGTTTAAACATTGATTCACTTTTTTTTTTTATTATTTACTCTATTTTAATGGGACAATTTTTCATATTGGTCCTATAGGCGTTTATTTCTCACGGCGTACATATTATTACTTATATGATTTATTTGAAAATAAAATTGAACACGTTCCATAATTATTTAAATTTTAATACACGTAGTATAGATTATATAGATTTTTATACCATCGTTAACATATAAATATATTTTAGAGCTGTATACACGTTTTTTGTTTCTGACCGATTTTTCGTGTATGGTTTTCATTGTCATGGCTCATGGTTACTTGTTAACAAGAAAATATTAAAGTTTAAAGATTCTAGATTTTTCTTGTGAAGAAAAAATATCGAGTTGCGTGCTATGGTTTACTTTTGTATGTTTCAGCATCATTATTACATTTTCATAACATCTTATTCAAATATCTTACCTATATTAAGAATTTATAGTCTTTAAATTGTGCTCTCCTAACGAAGAAAAAATATTATAGCCCTATAAGTAGATATGTCGAAGTGTACCTATTACAATTTAAAATTATTATACTTTAACAATTTACAATAAAGCCAATATAGAATAGGACATAATATCATATTATTAGAGGTAGGATGAGGAAGAATAATTACTCTTTAACCTTTATTATCACTCAGATCAGTACAAAAAATGTATTTTATAATTCATTATTATATAAGTATAGTGAAATGTACATATACGACATAATGGCGAAAAACATTTTTAATTTATATTTTTTGTTAGATATTTTACAAAAGTTATTTAAGTTATTTATAATATATTATATTATTGGAAAAAAGGCTCTATATGTATATGAGTATACTATAAAGATGTAGCTTAAATGTTAACTACGATATGATGATATATTATCGTTTGCATATTATATCTAACTACTGTTAAAGATTACGCTGATTAATGATTATGACCATTTAAAATTATAGTAGAACGATATAATATATTGTACACAATTACAAAAAAAAATATTAAGATTAATATTTCAAATGTGTTTTGGTAATTGAAAATTCGAAAATAATCATAATATAATGCAAACAAGTAATTAATTCACATTCACGATAGGGACCAGGGTGTGGCTCAGTGGTTGGTCTGACGTGTTCTGAAGTCAAGCATCATTATCGGCTGGCCTGCAGCGTCGTTACAATAGTTCCCGAAAGGGTGACTACCCGGGGTTTTAACGACAAAATATCGGGAGTTTCCCATTTCATCAACATAATATTGGCCGTTTCCGCCATAGCTGCCCTTTTCCGCCGAAAACGAAGAAGGTATGATTCCCGTTTCCGATATAAGACATTTCCATCAAAAAAAAGTTTGAAAACCCATATTTTAATTTATGTAATACATATATGTTGCGGTATGTATAAAATAGGTACAACAATATATACAGCGTTAATATTCGATATTTGTTGATTATTGTCTATAACGGAAAGAAGCATACACTGTATCATAGTTTACTTATAATTCGCACACAATAATGATTTGGTACAATTTTAAATTTTTATATTTTTATATTTTTATTTTTTTATTTTTTATGTTTCTTTTAATTATATGATTTCTTATATATAATTTAACTATCTACTCCTATCAAATAACAATAGTATATTATTGTTATTTGATAAATGATAACTATTAAATAACTTAAACACAATGTTCACCTACTACACCCTACAATATTTATTAAGAGTTACATACTTAGATCTAATGTGATACTTCGATTTGGTTATTATATAACTTATGTCTTAATTACATCGGCTCCGTATTTTTCAAGCTTTTGACAACGTCTGACACCTTTGTTTCAATCAGATCAACGTAAAAAGTCATATTATACACGTTCGCCCGAATGTCGTCTCCTGAAATATATTTGGTGCACATGTAAAATAATAAATTATAAATGGTTGGTATTATTTTGTTTAAAAAACATATCGTCGGTTTCGTAGTGTAGTAAGAATCAAATTCACATTCCTGATAATGTCTTTAATTTGAGTGAAATAAAATTATTATTTATTTATACCTTACGTCCTTACAACACATAATGTCTATGTTCCATTGCTACTCAAAATGGGTATGTCAGACGAGACAACTGACTTTGCTGATACGCTATCTATATTGTACTTTGGAAAACGAATTAAATTGTGATTTTTGTTTCTAATAAAATTTATTTTTATTTTTATAAGATAAACATTATACACAATCTATATTGCTAAGTATAATAATTTATAAGTATATGTGAAGAGAGACAGAATACATGGCTTGCGTGAATAAGTCACCCACTAGTGACTCTTTCCTTGAAGTGTAAATGAGGAAAAAGCAGTAATAGAAATATTGAAGATGAGAGAGAAAATACAAGGAAAAAAGAAAATTGGGCCAATTAATTCAAGGGTCATCTCCTTTTCAGCCGACGGGATTACCGAGAAGCGTCATATACTCATATTGTGACTAAATTTTTAAACTACACACTACACTACACTATACGACTACTCACGCTTACACTGAAGGATCTGACCGTCAAAAAGTTACGACTTACGATCATACCATGTTGTTTATATCACATATATTATTTAATTTTTACAAGTTTATCACGTTTGAATAGTATTTTTTATACCTTATTTTAATATACCACGTCATGTTAAACTGTTAAAGTTATGTCAATTAGCAATATCCTATTTGAACAGAATATTTATGGAATACGCGTTTTTGAAATGTTGACACAAATACTTTTTATGATATGTATAAGCTATAAATACTTAAATACATAGGTAAAAGATAAGTATAGGTCATTATAAACGGACAGTTTGTACTAATAAAGACATGGATACGTAATTCAATATCTGAAGACAGATTAAATGGCTTAGCGTTATTGTATATACATAAAGACATTGTTAAAAAGCAAAAACAAAAAATTATTGAAGATGTTATACAATCATTTTGTATGCAACCAAGACGCATACAATTTTTATTTGATGATTAATATAAATATAATTAATTTGTGACACCTACATTAACGTATATTCAAATAATATTAATATTGTATTATAAACCTACAAAATAAAAGGCCTTATGTGATGACATAATGTTGTTTTTTTCTGTTTAATGTAGGTTATGCTATTTTAGAATAAAAAACACTAGAAATATATTAAGATTTAAAATAATAATTTTGATCTTGCCCCGGGTGGGATTTTATCCTGCGGGCGCCCTTGTTGTACTATCTATTGTTCGAGTTGCATATCGCAGACACTTTGTAAGGTGATAATAAATTGGTAAAATTCCATCACTGAAGGTTTTGTACGGTATAAATAAACCGGGAAATATATCTTAAAAGATGAGATAAAATTAAATTGCTCAAAACTTTAGATTGCAAATCATGATCGTGATTAGTATGAGACATGTGTTTGGTGTCACAGGCTACAGCATTAAAAGTATTAAAATATTAACTTATTCACTATATAAAATGAACAAAAATCAATCTAGCAAACTCAATCCAAAAATTATTAAAAATGGGTATGAATATATTATTTTAAGAAAAAATCAATTTAATATTCATTGGAAGTGTAATAAAGTGACGTGTACGGGGAAGTTACAACAAGCCGTAATGAACCGGTGAGTTATAAGTTGAAAATCATATTATTTTCATAATACCTAAATCATATTATTATCATATTTTTTAAAAATACATTTGTATGTTACGGCCATAGTATGAATTATTTATAAAAAAGACTGATCATAATCACGAATCGAGTGATGAAATATTGAAGCTGAAAAACCTTGCACTAACTAATATGAAAAGACAATCTGTTAATAGTAAAGAATCAACAAATCAAATTCTTCTATCTGTACTTCATGAAAATAATGGTTAGTATGATTTTAATCTAAAAAACAACTATACATACCTACTGCATATTTTATTATATTTATTTTAAATAATTAAGATTTAATACTACGCACTTTTATACAAAAGGTACTTATTCTTTTTATCTCGTCTTGGCATTTGTGTCAATCATAGGAAATTATAAGATAAATATTTTTTCGAGATAATTTTTATATCTACTATCTACAATCAAATCAATATATAGGTAATACTTGTATTGATAATTGTAAAATGAAACAATGTAAAATGATAACATCTTTAGCGTTTTTACCAGTTGAAGAAATACCTAATGAAATAGTTAATATGTATTTAACTTTTACTCCAGAACTAATTCCGTTAATATTTTATTTTGAATCAACATATATTAACGGAAAGAATGGTGCACCAAAATTTCCTCTTGAAATTTGGAATGTCAGACACCAAACAGTTAAGAACTCACACAGGAAGAATAAGTTTAGTGAAAGATGGAACAGTTCGTTCAATAAATTGGTTTAATCCAAGTTTCTGGAGTGTTTTGCGGTCTTAGACGAATGCTCTTGTCATTTGAACAAAAACACAAGAAAAAAACCAAAATACACAAAAGAAAATTCATGATGCCTGTGTACTGCATGAAAGTAAAATAATAACTAATTTACAATTGCTCGAAATAATTTGCCATAAGTTTAATTTTTAAATATATATATATTATTATGATTTATGTGACAGTGAATGTTTTAAAAATACATACCACAAATAATTATTGACGAATTTATTACCATAAATATTATTATTTTTTTTTTTTTTATATGTTAATTACCTGTGTTTTGTAATAGCAAATTATACATTTTTTTTAAATAGTACAAACTGTCCACCATGCATATTTAATTACTTTTTGAAATAGTACAAACTGTCTGAGGACAAAAAAATGACTATAAATGACTATAAATCACCTCTTACGTAATATGAAAACCATAAAAAACTTTGTATTTACATTTAAAATTCTGGTAACCTATAGAACAGAGGCTCCGAAACTGTGGGTCACGATTATATTTTTAGTGGGTCCTGTTATATTTTTAAATAATACATTTTTTAGACGTATGTTTCTATTACTATTCGTTGATGTTTAAATTTAGTTGTATCATAAATTCATAAATCGCTATCTGCGTTTGGGGCAATTACGAATTTTCCGAGACCGTGTCAACACGACGCAATCAGATTAGTATAGTTGTTGAAAAGATAAAGCAATTTATTGCTATAATAAATTCCTTGATAAAAATTTAGAAATAAAATATACTGTTCTTCAATGCAAAATTCTTTTTTTTTTATTCGTATCAGCCAAAAAAAAAGTCATTGATATTATTATTATTATTATTTTTTTTTTTATTTAAGCTTCGGCAACTGAGGCCATTAGCTGTAGGTTGTGGTACTGTAGGGTTTGGGACTGTAGGGGGGACGTGTGTGTTTTTGTTTGTCAGAATTTCTATTGGGCACCCGTAGGTTTCTGCCATGCCCGGTTGGGGGATGGCGCGGCACTTGTTCTCCGGTCACCGCGACTTGTCCGGAGAAAAATGCCGCCCGGTGGCCGAGGATCGAACCGCAACCGGCTGCGTCGCAGCGGACGACTCGGTCACCTCGTAAAAAAAACAACTGATCATATGTAAGATAATGAAATACATGCGTCTTTCAGTAGGTCATTCAAATACGACTATGGTATAGGTACTTAATACCTATAGTTAGGTATAGTATAATTATAAGTGTACCTAGCAATATATTACTATTCAGATATAAACTAATTATTAAAACACAAACTCATTACGCGTATCCTCTTTCTTTATCATGTTTTCATGTATTGTAAACACTTTGGTTGTTGTTACTCATTAATAGTCATTACTACTACTTACTAGTCAATGCTCATTAAGTACCTACTATATTATAATATGACTTATGAGAACAACAGCGTTGACGAGTTGTAATTTAAAAAAATATATTCAGAAGAAAATAAAACTATTGGCATCGTGTCTGAAGATTTGTCAAAGGTATAATATTATAAATGATCAAAATTTGGAAGCGCTATTTCTCTCACAATTTGATCGGTTTATGTCGTAGTTATTATACATAAGTTACATACATTTGGTCGGAGGTTTACACGCTTTACGCCTACAACAGTTATAATCATAATAATATATTAATATTATGTTTGTGCATAACAAATATCATACTCTTATGATATAATATTATATGCAAAATACGAGTTTTTGCAGACCCCGGACAATATTTCGTTGGCTCAAAGTTGAAATCGTTATCTAGTCGAACACACCTATCCGCTACGATAAATAATATTTTTCGTTTACTTTCTCTATTTCTATGGACGTGAGCGAATAGACCAGTGGCTCTCAACCTTTTTTTGATGCGCGACACACTATTATACACCACAAGTTTCACGGCACACTCAGGTACGTCTTTCAAAACCACAACTTCGGCAACAGTTATGGCCACGCGCCTATATTAATATAATATATGACATTTCTCGCGGCGCAGCATTGTGCCGCGGCATATCGGTTGAGAACCACTGGAATAGACATTACTCCGTGGCCCGTGCGTGCCTATCTGTTAGATCACATGCAACAACATTTTACATTAGTTATTTTGTACCTATTATATTTTGATCTAGCTTACCTATACAATATATTTTGTTGGGTATTCGGGTATGGACACTGTCTTGGATTATACCAGTTTTAAACTTAAATGACCGTGACATACCTAGTAGGTAATACCTGTATGGCATAATCACTTATCAATAATCGTGAACGGTAGGACAGACGAACGGTGTTCCCGCAACCCGTGTACCTATATTTTTTATCAGGCATAATAATAAAACATAGCGGCCAATTAGAGTGGATCTACCATAATCAGTTTACAAATATTATTATATACATGACGTAGGTATAAAATATAATATAGTACATGCATAATTAACGGCGAGATTGACCTTCATAATTTGTATGTGTCTTTAACCCAATCACCACTAGTGATTGGTGAACTTTATTAAATTACCGATCGACATTAATACATTACGCTTTATTGTGTCAGTTTGTAGCATAACCGAATTGCCGCGTGACTGCTTAAGTGCGCGTTTAACAACCTGCCTAATATTCTACATGCTCGTGCAACCGAACTTTTGGAATATTATACGTAGTCATGTTTTCTACAGCTAGTGAGTATTTTTTTTCTTGTCAATTTAAATCCTTCGTTAGACTTGTCACGAGTATATTGTTTAATATTGGGCGTCAGATGTATTTTTAATTTTTATTTGCTTTATAAATATTCAGTCTGTCAGTCGTATATACGGTGTACATTATACATATATATATATGTATACATTATCTAAAAATTGAATTTATAGTAATATAATTATATATTTAAATCGTCATATATTTGGGAATAATTGTTCAAGAGTCGGTAAAAAGTTAACAATACCTTGTATATGTTTTTATATTCTTATCTAACCTAACTAGAGTGGATTTTTGATCTTTTAATGAGGCTGGTGCTGCACTGACGATCTATAGCCATACTCAATACTCATAAAGTTATAACATAGGCATATAATATAGAAATGTTACCTATAGGCCAGGCCAGAATTTATCAAAATATTGTCCTTCAACAAAAATAATACTTTGTTATTGGTTTCCCTGTTTTGAGATCAATAAATTCCAAGAATAATTTCATGCCTGTATTCATATAATAGATCAGAAGTATTATTGCATTAATGTAATACGTATAGTGTCGTATACCCACCTAGACCTATAGGCTTAGCCACCTCCACCAACATGTTCGTATCAAATAAAATCATTGATACTATAACACCATAATGTCGACAACATGATTTAAGTATGTATACAATATGCATAATTTTATTAAATTGATAAGATTTTTTTCCCAACATCACTAAAACCTAATCAGCTGCAACCATAGCACTATATTATATGTCCTCGGTCTCTGAAATACGCGGAACATAAGAAATTAGAGTTCATTAGAACCAATATTTTGTTGTTAGCGTTAATATTACAATTTTTAAACTCAATGATGAAAACATTACATATTTACATGTTATATTATGCTGTAATAATATACATGATAGTACGTTGGATTATTTACGATATGTCAGATTTTACTCAAGTGATGTGTATGTAAAATATTATTACTAAAAATGATCATTATATATATTTATACCAGTCATGCCCAACCCGCGGCCCACGGGCCACATGTGGCCCGCCAAGGTATTCCATGTGGCCCGTTACAAATTATTAAAATAAAACAAAATATTCCAAAAAAAGTAAAATTATTACAAAATACGATTTGAATTAATTTATAAATAAAAAATACAAAAATAAAAATAAAAAGTATATAAAAATGTTTTTATATTGCAACCTACTATGTGTACCTAACTAAATTGTTTAAGATTGAGATTATGAGTACTTTTATATTTGGTGGCCCGCTCGATTACAAATGTTTACCAAAGTGGCCCGCCGAGGAAAAAAGGTTGGGCATCACTGATTTATACCAAAGAAGAGTTGAAATATCGTCAAAAATCCAACATATTAACATATAGATAGATGGATGACAACAGCTACACCCACTCAGCCTTCCCGAGACGTCAAGCCTTAGTTAGATGACAATGTGTCAATAAAATATGGCTTAAAAATCTTGTAAGGTGTAAAAAAAAGTTTGACGAAGGGGCTTCGCCGATGGGTGTAAGCCACTGTAAACTGCAGTAGCCAGTAATGACCAGATCCGTAGTTTCATCTATGGCCATATTTACAGACATATAAAATAAAGGTTTTCAAGGGTGACAATACCTGCAATCATTAATGAAAATCACTCTCTCTGTATTATATAGATTCAGTATACAGCCGAAACTAATTATATGAGACACTACTCGAAACACTCGCTCGACATCAAACGTGCCCATGTGTATTGTATGTTATTGCCCAATTGCTGTCAACTTCTTAAATTCTAGGTTCATTTCACAGCCACGCGTACACGTTAGGTACCTACGTGTGAGTAACATTCGGACGTTTTTCGACTTAAATTATTAATATTGAGTTCGTATGTCACGATGGCAAGGGTGACAGTAAACCATCAAGCTATACGAGCTTAAAAATTTTAAATCGAAAAAAATGTGATTATACATATGCGTGTCTGTAAAGCGAGTAATACGAGTCTTACCAAGTATCTTGTACATCGGAGAAAGATCACAGTGGACGGACAGAAACAGTTTCTCGACGGACTCCAAGAGCTCGGTCAACTCGGTGTGTACGGTTTTTATTCGATCGTCTTCTTGGTCCGCGTCGTCGGTGAGCTGCTGTAGGTGTGCCCTTAGTCCGTTCATGTTTTCCTCTTGTTTTGACGCTCTTGACTCGTTAATGGCCCGCTGCTCTTGTACTCGATCTTTTAGCACTACAACTTCTTTCTGCAAGTCATCCACCTAAAACGAATGGTAGTGAGTGCGCCATTTTTAGAATACAACACTTTATAATTTAAAAACCTTTTATCATTTATATATCAGTTACTTCTGGAGTTCTCAAAGGTGATCACTGACCACCTTTCTCTACTTCTATATTTTACTTATTTATACATTATGCAGTTTTTTCTATTTTATATTGCTCATTCTAACATTCTTTTGTTTTTGGGCGAAGTCGGGTTGTACTACAGTTAGTATGATAGTAAATGTACATCAATCGATGCATACAATTTTTGTTTCAATATATCAATATATATTGTAATAACTGATAAGTGTATACATTTATCTCTTTCTTTTTTGGTTTTTCATTCGTATTTAGTTTCTAATCTGTATGACGGTATCGTGTCTATAAAGCTAAATAATTTCATAAATTTATAATATCCTATATACTGCAATCTAAGTACATTACTTATGTATATTATAAAAAAATAATTTTCTTTCCACCAAACGACAAACACCCAAAAGAGGGCATATTAATAATTTATAATAATGTATGTAATATCCTAAAATGTACAGTTTATACCTCGCTGTTTAACTCGTTGATGTACGTAAATAGCGCGAAGTTCTCCTCTTCCTGCCGGACGAACAGATCCACAATCCTATCGATGTTGCTCTCACCCACATACATCTGCAGCCATCCCATCAAGTCTATCCATTTCTCTGCTTGTTCCTTTCGGTTGCCCAATTCGTTTTGTTTCTTTTCTTCTTCTTTACGTTCGAAATCCATGAGCACTCGATGTTGTCCTATTTTACAAAAAAAATTTACTGAACCGCGGTAATTATTACTATTTTTTCTAGAGACTTGACTTACGTAGATAAAGTAAGTCAAATATTTGGTATCGATATTGTTTTAAAATTATTCGAAAGTATTACTGAGTTAGATCCTGGATTTTGCGAGTAAAAATATTTATATCTATCTTTCATCACGACTTTGGTTTAGGAACAAATTAGATAAGAGGAACTCGAAATAAATCCTGCAGATTAGTAGATTACCCTATGGTCTATACTATGGACCTTCTGACTAAGATATAATATTTTTAATCAAAAATAGATTCAGATTCAGTAAGAAGGAGTATGAAATCAATATAAATTATGATATAACCGAGGATATAACCTATACAATATTTGTACTAGATTAGGAAATTACGAAACATTAGCATTTTTAATGGTTTATAGCAAGTCGCTATTAGATATGATATTGATATTGTGTAATTTACGACGGTAGAAAAATAATATAATATATGAATAATTTAAATAATACACATATTGATCACTCATCGTTAGGGTTCGGATTTGAAGGCAATATAAACAATAAAAAAAGCATTTAAAATATGTGAAAAAGGCCAAAAAAGAATTTAATTTATATAAAAAAGCAATTACAAACTTAACTAAAAATTTCAATTGATTTAACTAGTTTGCATTATAAAAAAATTAATCTTTAGATAGGTAGAATATGGACACTTTTCGAAAACGATAAACTAATTTGCCGTAACAAATACTTTATCAATATTGCTGATAATAAATCCTATTAAAACTATTTTTAAACATAAAATTGACAATGCGCCGTTTTCACAAGCTCTTATCAATTTTTTTTATTTATAGAAAACTATCAGGACAATGGATAACTAAACAAAAACAAATTAAAATCAAACTAAAAAGCAAAAAAATGTTCATCCTATTATCTTAGAAATTAAATGAAACACATTTTAATCCAAAAATTATTTTTCTATTGTTATCCAAAAAAAAGCATTTCCTTTCAATCTGAATCCTACTAATCACTATTTTTTAAACTTTATAATATGGTGCATATCTCCGCAATTAAATCATAGATACAATTTGATGCGGGGGGGGAGGCTGGCCATCTATATGACTATATATACTTACACACTCGCTTCAATAAGACATTTTGAAAAGAGTTATAACTTATAATGTAGGTACCTACTCGGATATTCGGACATAAGATTTATATTATTTTACCAACCAACCTCGCGAATCTTTTTATTCTATTATTTATTTTAACTGAATTATTGAGATACTTGAAAAAATAAAGCTGTTATAACTATTTGGTAAATAAAAATAAAAATTCCAGCAATTTGGCTGGTACATAAAAAATCGGCAATGCTCCGATTGACGTTGACAATTGACGAACATTCTGATGATTACTCGCTGTACTAGTTTATGATTTACCTATATAAAAAACGTGCATGCACGTAAGTATACCTTTGATGGATAAGAAATCTTGGAGTTTTAGATCACGGTCGTATTGCCTCTGCAACTCCTTGACTTCGGCTTTGTGCAGAGCGATCTGTTGTTTGTCTTCGTCACTCATGTTGATCAACCGGTTTTGAGCGTCTTCCCTGAAAAACACACAACAAGATATTATTAATTATTATATTAGTGTAATATACGTACTGACGTACTGTATCTTTTATCTATAGACTATAACTTTATATTATAAGTTAATAATATTACTGTTTTCATTTTAGAAGAAATTTTTGATAGACCTACTTATGATGCCCTTTTATATTACATTATATTACCTCTGTTCGTACGCCGTCGTCGCCTGTTCTATTAGGTCCATCATAATCTGTTTGCTGTCGTCCAAACGCGCAGTCAGAGCCTTGTAAGCTTCATTGAACTGCGACCGTTGCACCAACAAATTGTCGATTTCGTTTCTCAAACGGGCGTTTTCCGTCAAAACCTTATTGAACTTGACGGTTTTCTGAAATTTGTTTTCCCTCACAAATGATGGCATCATATTATTATATTATTTAATTATATAGGTAGGTAAGTACCTATATATATGCAAGCAGACTTACCACGTGCAATTTGTTCTCTAGAAGTTCTTCGTGTCTTTGTAGATCGCACTCGACTTTGTTTTTCGATTTGCCTGCCGAGGGTTCTCTCTGTCTAAATATTAGGTCGAGTTCGTTTTGTATTTTTAATATTTCCTTTTCGATATCGTCGTGGCACTTTTTTTGGTCTGTTAGCTCATCGTTAACGCACAGGTATTCGTTCCATTTTTCGATCAAACATTCTTTTAAACGCAAGTCATTGGTTTCTTTTCGTTTGTTTTTAGCCATATTCATGTGTTCTACCAGATTTACCTTTTCTTGTTCCAAACTGTTAATAATTTTTCTGAAACGTTTAACATATAACAGTTTGTAATTTGTATGTTCAATTTTACAAGCAATGTGTAAAGTTTAGTCATATTTTATAATAGGTGCATTATTTAGTAATATATAAGATATATATAATAATTATATATATCTTGTAGTTAATTATATGATAATTGTTATGGAGTTTATAAAATATTATGTATTATTGTGTTATGGCTGTGAGAAGAATTTTAAACATTACATTTGTTTTATTAATAATATTTAACGTGCAACAAATGTGTAATACCTAAATATTCATGTGGGAGTGTTAAAAAGTATAAGTATAAAAAATTAATTACAAAAGAATAAAGAAATATGTAAAATACGCAGGCAATTATAATTTAAAGATTATAAGCAATACATTGAAATTAATTAAACTCAATATTTTTAAAACATTGCACAAAATCGATTAACTAATAAAATATAATCATTAACGATTTTAATATAATAATATCTGAATTATATATATTATAAGTTATAACAGTAAACCAATGTGTAATATACTAATATATAATATAATAATAATTATGATTTTGGTATAAAGTAGACCTACCTATTTTTGATTCATCGTATTTATTAAACTTACTTCTGTTTGGTCAAATGACTGCCCATTTCTTCGGTATACGCTTTTTTGTTGCTCTCCATGAGCATGTACTGTCGTTGGAGTTTGGCCAACTCTTCGGCAAGAAGATCGCTTCCATTGTCTTCGACTTCTCCATTTATGTTATTGTCCATTGCTATACAACTTGTAATGTACAACCGACTGATTTAAGGCTATCGAATGGATTGAGTGATAATCGTTGTATCATATACGACGAACAGCTCGGCAGGCTCACGTGTTATCGAAAAAACGAAATTTTAAGGTAACTAGGAGACGTGCGAAACCCCAAGCGCAGCAATGAGTACAATGTTTATACATATTATATGCAAAGTCCACTTCGTGGTTGCATCTAATTCGTATTCATCCTTACGAAATAAAAAAGCACTGATAGGCTCACTTGACACACTAATACACATATATTGATATTTGATACACATGTATTTATAATATGGACTTTAGGTTTATATGTCATATTGTCAACATATTGGTATCGATGGAGGTTATAAATCCATTATTTAAACTTCATTTTTTTCTTCTTCTCTATGTGCAATGTATACGCATGTGTATATATATATATGTGTGTGCGTATGTGTGTGTATCGATTTCAGAATACTTAACACTCCACGCTCCAAGTTTCAAGTTGAATCGTTGCTGCAAATATTGTATATAACTTATATAAGGTTACAATAAGGCGATTTATTGAACATTTTAAATGAGTACTTGTGTTAAAAAATTATATACAATCAATAAATGATTTAATTCCCTATGCATTAATAAATATTCATAATGATTGAACACTATTATTTTATTTTGTAACTTTTTAAAAAAATGAGAGCTTTATGGAATTATTCAATTATATTCGACCAAAGTGTATACGTTGTTATGAATATTTATGATTCATAAACCATACTACCTAACCAATGACCATAAAGAACTTCAAACGCTGACTGATTATTTATTGCCGTTACCATTTTAGTTAAACAAGTCTTTAAAGAAAACGTGCGAAAGTTTTTGACAATAGCAAAATATTGATTGTTATTATTGTATTTATTGATTGTCATTATTAGTTTCAAACTTCCAAAGTCTTAAATTATATTATATAAGGTATTTATTTAATTTCATAATATATAATTATTACGTCCAGATAATCTACTATCCTTTTTTTTTTTTTTTTTTTTTTTTTTTTTTTTTTTTTTTTTTAGAAAATTTACAATCTGTGTTACATGACACAATAAGTAAAATAGATAATTTATATAACACTATATACATATAAAATACACATGAGGCACATGATGAGGGAAATCATCCAGTGATGGTACCCTCTAGTAAAATCTACTATCCTATCTATCTAATAAACTATTAACCTCTCAAATTGTAAGTACGGTACGTATTTTGATATAATTATATAAATATAGTAAAATTATCGTATTCATGATTCATGAGATCACCAATATTCGACGTTGTAATTTTTTGTCCCTTAAAGATAAAAAAAGCAGATAAACTATAAGATTTCAAGGTTGTAAGGGACTCAGTAGTATATTATACAGTTAGTTGTTACCTATTGCTTACTAAGTTATTGTTCTCTGGTTCTTCGTTGAATAAAGTCTAAATGATGGAAATGCTAAAAAAGACAAACAAATAATAGTACCTAATATCTAATATATAAATGTGAAAATGAAAACCTTTGAGTGTTATGTTCTCGGAAACTACTGAACCGATCCTTATGATTTTTTTTTAAATTGAAGAGCTCATTGCGGAGAAGGTTTATGGCTTTTGATAGATTCTCTAACTTTAAAAACAAAGGAGTTATCAATTATCATAAATAATGACCAGTTACGTTGACTGGGTGGGTGAGGTTCGCGGTACGGCAACGGACGGCGGCTAGATGTGGCCGCCCAAACTTCCCCTTCCATATCACCGTTGCGCGACGTGATAGTTCATAGCGTTATTCGTTGCTAACTTAAATCTATACCATAGATTAAATATATAAAATAACACATTTATAATGTGTATATAATATAATAATAACATAATCTATGTAAATACAAAAAAAACACAATTTCTCGCATATTCTATAGAAATTCACCGCATTATGGTGAACGAAGGACGGACCGACCGACATTTTAAGAGAAGCTTCGTAAGGTTAGGTTAATTTCGTAAAGCTTAATGTTTGTGTATCGACTATCGATGAATTGTCGAATATTCAAGATGCCTGTAACAGTACTAATAATAAGTAAATTACAATAATTTCTATAATTTTTTATTTTTTATTCGTTTCTTTTAATTATTAAAATTTATCACAATGAAAAGGAAAATTAATTTAGGTCGTTCATCGAATATACCGTGTGTTCCTAAACTTTTGCATATTGTTATCAAATCCATCGGGTTTCATTTCAGTCCATCCTTTAGAATAGCAGATTGCTGATAAGTCAATCGGCTTGATTACCTCCCCTCCAGCGGCTGACCAATCTGATGAATTAAGGAACACACGGAATATAAAACGTCAACGTTTACTTAGATTAAGTCAAAATAACAATGGCTCGCCAGATAACTGCAATATTAACAGCGATAATAATGATGATTATATAAATAATACACATAAATTCTACATTTGCAATTTCGGTTTTTGATCAAAATAACTTAATCAACAAAGTTTATCCTGAAATTTCTCATCTTTCCAATAAATCCAATGAATGGCTCCGTGAACGTGCAATTTTGGCCCCTAAATACGACATCGTCAACATCATAAACTAAAAAGTTCTTTCCATGTTCGAAGCTGATAAAAAAAACTATATTTCCATAGATACACTTACTAATCAAGATGAAGCTATAGATATCTCGACTGAATTTCTTAACTCATTAAATCCATCAGGTCTCCCCCCACACAAACTTGATTTAAAAATCGGTGCGCCTATTATTCTCATGCGAAATTTAAATGCTCCCAAATTGTGCAATGGAACCAGATTAAAAATATTATCTTTGAAAAAAAACCTTATTGAAGCTGAAATTCTTACCGGCTCAGCGAGTGGTCAAATGGTATATATCCCAAGAATACCAATGATAACAAACGAGTACCCCTTCGAATTTAAACGTGTCCAATTTCCAGTTAAACTTTGTTTTGCTATGTCAATTAATAAGGCACAAGGACAGACAATGAAAGTTGCAGGAATTGACATCAGCGATCCATGCTTCACTCACGGACAATTTTATGTTGCCTGCTCCCGTGTAAGCTCAGAAAAAACTTATACATTTATGTCCCTGGTGAAAAAACTAATAATATAGTTTATAAAGAAATATTGGTTAATCGGTAGTTATGTAGTATTTTTCCAAAATAATAAAAATTACTTTTCAAAAAACGTAATTTTTTTAAGTTTAGTATCCTAACCTTATGTCTTATTGATAATTATGTATTTAAGAAGGTAAATGGTAATACATGGCTTTATTTCATTTATCACGAATTTGTTTCCGGGCAACGCCGGGTAATTGATCTACCTATATAGTATATACACTTACAATAAGTTGGTTATTTTTTTCTACACTACAAATTACCAAGAAATAATTTATATGGCAAAACAACGTTTGCCGGGTCAGCTAGTATAAATATAAATTTAAAAAAAAATTATACAAACCAAATTAAAAAATTTAAAACATGGAAATATCTGATTTTGATTTTGTAAAAATAATAAGTTTTAAAAATCGACCTCTAACACTATAATTTATTAATTTGTTTACCATTTTAATATTTATTGAATATTAGTTATTAACATTAGTTTTATTTTATATCTTTATTTATTGTAAACAATTATTTGTCTATGTGACTATTTATATTTATAATATACTATTTATGATGCATTTTAAAAACAATATATGTTTATAGAACTTAATTGTATTAATTTTACGTTTTTGTATGAACTAATGTGTGTTCGGGATACTTATATTTGAGATAAAATACGACTACATGAATCCGGGCTGCAATCGGGCAATTACGTTTGGAATACCTTTTTTGAGGGTGGCATTATTATATTATCCTTCCGAGAGAGGTTCCTGCTATTTACAGTTGTCGGTTAAGAAAGGTTTCGTTGTAAATTGTAATTTGTTATGATAATTTATTATTATTTACATCATTTTAATTAATAAATTGTGCAGTATATATTAATAGGTTATTTATTTTCATTAATAAGTTATGTTTTTTAGGAATCAGTAACAAATTGGGCCCTAATACCATACTGAAATGGATTTCGAAAATCCAGGAAGGAAAAGGGATAGCATCATTAGCGTCACTGTCAGAAACACATCAATTGTTGTACAAAACATGCAGGGACTTTGCTGAAGGAGAACTTAAGCCTATAGCTGCAAAAACTGATCGTGAAAAATTGTTTCCTAAAAAACAGGTAGATATAATTGGATATTGAGAATTAAATATGATATTATTATTTTAATAGAACTATAAGCCAAATTAGAATTTTGTGTTTTTTCAAAAACTTATAATATTATTTCGAAATGTATATTCAATTATCGGATGTAACCTATCTTATAATTGTTGAGCTATCATAGTTTACTATAGAAGTTAATAAAAAAAAAAGAAGCTGAACATTATTTCATTTTTATTTAGTCACCTGACTTGCAGCAGAGTAATACATTATAATAATTAAAATTTGTAATTTAAAGTAATCATGTTTATGTAAAAAAAAGGTGTTTTATTTGTAATGATTTATTGGACATGAAATTTATTTCGTTCTTAATATAGATTGAAGAAATGGGCGAATTAGGCCTTATGGCTGTTTGTATTCCCGAAAATGTTGGAGGAACGGGTCTTGATTATTTATCTTATGCTATTGCCGCAGAACAGATTTCTAGGTAAAAACAAAACTTTAATGACAACTGGAAAATAATGAAATCCAAGTGTTTAATCAATAATTATATGATGGTAAAGTCAGCAAACCGTCTAAATTTGACTTTTTTGTATTTCTAGATGTTGTGCTTCAGCTGGTACTATTATGGCCGTGCATAACATTTACGTCAACGCCATAAACAATTTCGGTAACGATAAACAGAAAGAAGAATTCCTACGACCATTTACGGATGGGAAGCAATTAGGTTCATTTTCTTTGAGTGAGCCAGGTAAGTAACAAAGAGTATAATAAGATTATTGCTATAAAAAATTATTAAATATAATATGTATATATTATGTATATTTGATGTTCAAATTCGGTAATTCTTTTCGAAGTATATACTTTTTTTCTCGGAAATTGAACGTTTTTGGAAATATTTTGTTTTGGATTATATTTTGAAATCATTACAAAACAATATTTCATTAAAATATTAAAGGACTAGGAAGTGACGCCAGTGCTGTGTCTACAAAAGCTACGAAAAATGGTTCCAACTATATAATCAACGGAACGAAATCGTGGACTACGAATGGTTTAGAATCCAAAGGGTTAGTCCTATTCGCATCCACTGATAAATCAAAAAAACACAAAGGGATCAGTTGCTTTTTATTGAAAAAAGATTTTCCAGGTAATTAAATGATAATAATAATATAATTATATGTATATTATGTATGTTTCGAAGAAAAACGTATAAGTTATTGTAGTACATTGTATATAGTATATACCTATAGATACTAGTATTTTATACAGTTATATGTATATCTGTAACGTACCTCTGTAACGTACCTCTGAAACGTAGAAGCAAAACAGTGATAGTCAATCCGGCCTCATACTGTTGATTATTATTGATTACAGATGTAGGTATTATTAGTTTGTGTAGTTGTTTTTCGTAAATGTATACATTACAATATATTGTCTCTCTAGTCTCTATACATATATAACTATGCATTTATGCTCAATCCTATGTATAATAATATTTATGTACCCTAAACCTATTTATATATTATTGTTGCAGGGTTTTTTGTGGGGAAAAAGGAAGACAAATTGGGCATACGAGGATCGTCGACGTGCAGTTTAGTATTTGAAGACTGCCCCGTACCCGAAGAAAATGTCTTAGGCGAGTTGGGAAAGGGTTTCAATTACGCGATGATAACTTTAGGTTAGTACTTATTATAAGTACAAATACCTTATAGAACTTGGGTCTGTGTGCTACACAAACTTTGAAAATAATATGCTGTAATAATAATAATTATAGCTATATAGATATATTATTATCGATATAAGTATGCGATCGTTTCTTATGGTTTTGATCGGTTTAGACGCAGGCCGCATAGGAATCGCCGCCCAAGCTTGTGGTATAGCCCAAGCGTCATTGGAACTAGCTGTCGATTACGCTTCCAAAAGAATCTCTTTCGGCGCGCCGATCGCCAAATTGCAATCGATACAGGTATGTGAGCAGCGTTTATAATATACAGGACTTTATGTCCCATGTGGTCAAGACGCAAAAAGGCGGTAAAATACGCGGATCTACCTATAAATTATACATATTTTTCATCAGAACAAAATCGCCGATATGGCGTTGAGGGTGGAGAGCGCCAGGCTTTTGACGTGGCGTGCGGCGCATCTGAAAGACTCGAACACGTCGCACACAAAAGTATCTATAATATATTATTTCAAATTCCAATATAATATTCTGTTACGAAAAGTAACGAAAAATAAAAACCTGCGATTTTCAGGAAGCCGCCATGGCCAAGTTGGCGGCGTCCGAGGCGGCCACGTTCAACGCGCACCAGTGCATACAGGTGTTGGGTGGCATGGGTTACGTGACAGACATGCCGGCAGAGAGATATTACCGTGACGCCAGGATAACGGAGATTTACGAGGGCACGTCCGAGATCCAGAAGATTGTGATCGCCGCTAACGTGTTTAAAGAGCATGGAGTGTAGACAAGAATATATGAGTGTTATACCTATTATATGAATATATGTTTTAATTTTTAAGCGTATTTGAAAAAAAAAATATTTTATGTCAAATTCTATGTGTACTGCTACTGTTTAACGAGCAGCTTACAACCATTATTATTTACTATACCTGATATGTGTAGGTAAGTAGTCTTACGATCGACTTGGTAATTAAGCTATAGTAAGTGTCAAAGTGGTTCCAAATTTCCAATATGGGCACCATCCACTGTGTGTCTGTGTTGGCTTGTGTAGTTGCGTGCTGTTCCCTGTTACAGACCTCTGTTCGGAACACCTGCAGACATTCAGCTCCTTTCAACTCTCAAACTACTTACTACAGACACTCTTGCTTGAAAACATTTTAATTACTAATATAATACTGTTTTGTTAACTTTGTACAGTATACTACCATTTAAAATTAAAACTAAATACTTAATAAGACTAGTCACTAGTAAAATGATCATGTAAATTGTATGTTATATTTTAAACAACTATCTCGCAGAAATGGATATTTTATTATTTTTCAAATACCTATAGTAATGTTTTTTTTCAAAATGACACATCAATCTATTCCGTTGATAAAAATGGATCTGGTTGAAACTCACATACTTCTCATTGAAGTGAAGCATTTTGCTTTTCAATTTCAACAGCCATAGAATTATTAAATACATTTATTTGAGGACGTGTAAGTCCAGCTTCTTAACTATACCTATATAGCATTATAGCACATACTAAATGTATACATCATACTGTTTATTATATATTTATATCTACGTGATGACTATGAATATTATACTGCATTTTATTTTAACGAGAAACATTCAACTGTTTTTACATTGTCCAATGTATGCTCTGCTATGTGGTACATTAATACTTAAGTATTACAAAAATAAAAAGAATTAAAAAATAAAAAATAAAAAAAATAATTTGAAAAAAAAATTTTCATTTATTATTCTTCAACAAAGCTATTTCCTTCCCATTAACTGTTTATTTGTATTTAATAAGTTCAACTAACATTAACTAGACATTGCTAGACGTACACACATTTCTGTTGTTTGAATTATTACTCAAAGATAGTACATAATAAATACTGTTACATTTTTATTTTAGACTTAAAATACGTTATTTCATCACGTATCTAATACAGTAAACTCTCGATTATGTATACACGGACGGAATAGGCTGGCACTGCAACAACGGATAAGCGAATTCTGCGGTTGAACCGCAAAATACAAATTGAAACAAAAATGAAATTATTATTTTCATAGGCACAAACATAAACCTTATTCACAAGGTATGCCGATATTTTTAAATATACCTATCTCTATACAAAAAATAAGTCCTCAAAAACTCTTAATATAAATAACTTGTTTCACAAATGCATAATGTAAATACACAAATCTAAATTCGAAAAGAAATTAACATGCATTAACTCATTATTTGGTTTTAAATATTTTAATTAAAAAAGGTTGTATTGTGATTCCATCCCAATAAAATAACCTACAAAAATATGGTCATATTAAAATAATATATATAATAACGACAACGAATGATGATTTGGGTAATTGACTAATTAATCAGAATACTTTTTGTTTTGATAGTAGTATGAGAATAAGAAGCCAGAATATATTCTTTGACAAAACCCACAATTCTCAAGAAAATTGTGGATTTTAACTTCAACTACAATATCATCAGTTAGCAATATATTTTATTATTTATAGATGATAACGAATTTATAATTATGAAATCTAATTAATATTTAATATTTGATTTCGTATCAACTCCTAATATTTTCATAAGAAACAATAAATTCTTTCTAACAAATAAAATAAGTTCTTTCATTCTAAAACGGTACCGGCACGTAACTAATACGTATCAAATTTTTCCCCTTGACAATTTTGCTCATACCTTCCGTTGGGAAGCCTAAGTTAAGTGTATTTTTTTCCAAAGTTGTCTGTTAAAAGAGTTTTCATTATGTTCAAATGGTAGGTGTTTGGCGCCAAACTTGAAGTGTCTCTTTTATACGAACTCCACTAAAACCACGTCCAATGAGATGCAACCATGCCGTACACCGAACGTGAGGTTTCCATTATCAGCAATTACATCATTGCTCCTCGCCGCTGATAAGCAGATAAGGGCGCACTGCTGTAGGCCTGTAGCTCACTGTGGTGCTCTTGCCACAAGGCTCTAACATATTTTGTTCGTCTCCATAATAATCAATCGCTTTCGCTAATCGCAATTAATTTTCATTCATAATTATTGCCTCTGCGGCACAAGTACTCGATTATTGCCGCGGTTGTATGTTGTTTTATTTGTTTATATAATTATTGGTTGTACCTACCATTGTTTTGTTTAAAATAAATATAATTTTATCTACTTTGATTGTCCAAAATTTCAACAATTGTGTGCCCGGCAGTGGCTGCTTGATACATTTTAATTCGTTAAGCATGTGTTCATTGTGTTAGAATAATTTGAGTGGTGTCCGCTGGAATTCGTGTCATAATAACAACGCCATGTCCGATTCCACTAATTCGTCGTTTGGCTTCCTGTCCAACTGGAAATTCAGCTTAGCCGTATGCGTACCATGTTTTGCAGTGGGGTTAGGCGCGACTTATTATTTTTACTCAAAATCTAACAATAAAGGACGGCGACCTATTGAGCCAACAGCCAAGCATTATGACATCCACGGAAATAATGTCACCCAAGACCTAGTCAAGACTAACGGAATCGATCCCAATACAGTGAAAGTTCACAAACCGGTTGGTATATTCATCTTATTACCTACACTTCTGTTTTAGTCATTAAAACATGTAATATGCAGTGTTGTATTTGAAACAAATTTAATTTTTGATCAATTGTATTTGCTCAGACGCCTACTGAGCAAGTTGAAGAATTTAAAAAACAGGGAAATGCAGAGTTCTCAAAACAAAATTATGATGCAGCCATTACATTTTACACACAAGCCTTGTCAATATGTCCACTGTCTGAGAAAGGACTGTTGTCTACTGTGTATCAAAACCGAGCCGCTGCCTATAGTAAATTGGTATTGAAAAATTATTTATTAATTAACAATTATTTTAATCAAGTTTCTTAAATTATTCATTTGATTTATTTTTAGAACAACTATGAGAATTGTGTGGCTGACTGTGACAAAGCCTTAGCTTTAGTACCGTCTTACAAAAAAGCATTATCCCGAAGAGCTAGAGCTCTTACAGAATTGGGAAATTTTAAGCTTGCTCTAGAAGATATAACAGCTGTTGTAATGTTGGACGAGTTTAAAAATCAAACAGATATAATATTTGCGGATAGTGTGATTAAAAGTTTGGGTAAGATTATAAGATCTGTGTCCTATTTAAAATAAGTATGTTTTCCAATTTTACTATTTTAGGCTTTGTCATATAAATGGTTTAAAAACTAAATGTTGTATACAATTTTGTTTATTAGTATTTAGTTATTAAGATAGGTATATAATTTTGTTGAAATAAATGATCACTGATTGTAATAATATATGATTGCATTATGGGATAAGAGATAGGCAACTCTAAAAAACTCACCTGTTCATAAATTATAAGTTAATTGTTAAAAACAGTTTCGTTTAGTCATGTACCACTGACCATAATCTTAGTTAAAGGGGGCAGTAGGGCTTATTAGAGGCTCCTCCCCATAGACCACCAATCGATTTTCCTCAGGGAGAACTGAGCTGGGTAAAGCTACAGAGTACAGCTTTATTTTTAAGCAATATTGTTTTTTATTTTTAATCACTATTAAGCACGAGTAAAGATATTATTTTAAATTGTTTAAGTGATATCAATAGAATAAAACAAAATCGTTCCTACCTTTTCATGTGGAAAATTTAGTTTCTTACCTGGAATTTATTTACTTGTCTAGACTTCTTTTTCTAGTCCCCAACCCATGTGAAATCTTTATTCTATATCATTAAAAATTTTAACCTTTAGTAAGTAGTCTTGATAATATGTTAGTAATAAAAATATTTTGAATATAAAACATAAGTTGTGTATTTTACTGTGTGTAGTTATAAGTATAATATTTTCATTAATACTTTAATGTATATTTAGGCAAGCAAAACTTAGAAGAGTACACAAAACACAATGTATTCAATTTGCCCACTAAAATATTTATTGAAAATTATATGAAGTCATTCAGTGAAGATCCTTTTAATGATGAATTTCCTCAGACGTTAATGAAATCGGAAGTAAAGTGAGTTAGTTTTAAATTATTATTACTTTATTGATACCTCTCCCTTTACCATTATTTATTATTTTGAAATAAAATACATATAGGTAATAATGTAATTTTTAATAAGCATGATGCAGGGGTATTTTTAATCTCATTTAGTTATGCATTATGATAATTTTTATATTGTACTAGCTGAATTACCTGGTTTCGGCCTGTGTGTAGTTTTTGCTTACTCAAAATGAAATTCTTAAATCAACATACATTGTTGTGTGTGTTTTAAATAAGAAAAAAAATTATTTTACTTAATGCTATCAAGTGCTAAACAGTAGTAGTAGCTGAATCATGAATTAAATAAAAATAATAATAATATTTATAAATGATTCTATACACATATTGTGTAAAAGTATTATTATTATAAAAATTTGAAAAAAGTTAAATTGCTTAGTCACAAAATGGGCACATAAAAAAAGGCCTGTTCTTTTATATATATAAGGATTACCTTTATAATAAAATGTGTTACAACTTAGAATCTCTAATGTTTATTTTTTGTTGCACTTCTTTAGTACTGGTTTGGAATTGGCATTAAAATGTATCAAAGATAGAAACTATGAACAAATTGAGGATGCTTGTAAAGAAGAATTGAATAAGACTGATAATAGTTTAATTCGTCGAGCTTTGGCATTAAATCTGCTTGCTACTTTTTCAATACTACGTGGTAACTATGCAACTGGGATCGAACATCTCACTACTGTCATAGAATCATCAGGAGTTCCAAACAAGGTATACAGTTTAGTGATGTGTGTATGTGAATAGTAATTGGTTATATTCTGTATATTTAATTAAAACAATTTTAGCTAAATTATGAAATTACAACACCCAAACATATTCATAATTACTAATTTCAGTCAAACAAACATGTTCTATGGTTTTTGTTTTATCTTTTTTCTGGAATGATTGATACAATTTTTTCCATGGTGCAAATGTGTTTCAAGAACATTGATATCAATAGACATTTTTTGAGGTTTTTGACGTTGCATTTTTATTAATCGTCTTAAGTGCATATTAAAAATATATAATATATAAATACTGCCGTCATAAGCGAAAACGCCGTAGGTCACCGAAAAACGATTTTGAAAAAAACGCGTTTTTGTATTTTGTATTTTCATAAAATCATAACACCTTGTACATTCTAATTATTTAAATATGATATATGGTTTCTTATGTAATTTTACCCAACGAATGCAATGAAACAATAATAAATATGATTAAATTAATAATTAACAAGATATTTTACTTTACTCGTTGTACCTTAGTATTGGTATAAACTTTTGCTACACTATTCAAAAGCAAGAATGCCGTAACTCGTAATTAACAATTTCTGATATGATAAAATTATTTATACATTTTAATTTTAAAGAATTCACAAAACAAAAATATTATTTTTAAGTCAATTTATAAATAAAAAAAAATACTTTAAAATACATAATTTTTATAATAATTAGCATGTTGGAATATTTTCCCAAAAAATTTTTCTGTTGGCTGGGAGAACTTGAGACAGATTTTGTAGGATACTATCGCGTTTTTCTTGTAAAACCCCTCGTGGTTTCGTTAATGAGATTGGATGCGGCATTCCATTGATTTTCATAACATTTTTTCTTAAAAAGTCTAATTCTAAATATTCTTCATCGTAATCGCTTTTAGTGAACAATATAAATTTCCCACGTTTAACTTGAACAGATACTACATCTTTGAGTAAAATACGATTTGTTGATTTGGTCAATTTTTGCTGAGCTTTATAATCCTTCCATAAAAAAAAATCCGAGTGTTCCATTTTTTTTACAACAACTTTAGATTTATTTGCGTTGCCAATAGCAATGGCAAAATCATCAAAGTCATACGTTTTCTTTTGGTGTTTCAGTGACAGCTCGACCTGATGGTGAAAGTGATCCGCTGACATAAAAGTATGGCCCGGCTCAAAATAATTTAAAATTATTTCATTAGCACAGATTTCTTCGGAATTTATAATGTAAATAAGAAAACTAAATAAGCACCAATTTTTATTTTGGCTGCTACAATTGTCAAGCCAAATCGTCACTGTATTTGCATCTCGATTACTTAATAGAAACGCATAAAATGTGCTTATCAAATCTTCTTTATTGCGACCATTAATGCCTTCGTGCCAAATACAAGCGAATGGAAATAATTTAGATTTTTTCCCCAAAGGTACGAAACTTTCATGATACGCAACAATTCGTTTTGTGAATATAACCTTTTTAAAAGAATCGACACGAGGTAACATAATTACTTTCTGTAAGTCAACGGACAAATAAATATTTGTTTCGTCGAATTCCATGTCTGCTTGTTTTTTGTATAAATCTCTAGCTTTTTTAGTTTTGTTTATATGAGTTGTATAAATTGTACAAACATCACATTCGGGCAAAATTTGAGTTTTGTGTTCATGAATATTAAAGCTTTCGCAAAGTTCACATTCTTCATGACCTAACTGCGCGAATGAAATATTTTTTTCTTTTACCTTGCATCGATAATATTCATACGAAATATAATTACGGTCTAATTCAGGTACAACCAGAAGATTTGGATCGTAAAAAAAAGGTTCATCATTTTCATTATTCATTTTAAAAATTTAAAAATTATTACATTTTAACGTGGCAACGATACAATGTAAACTAAACTCCACCGTAGAAAAATAATTAAATATCGAATAAGTTTATTATAAATAAAATGTTCCGATAGTGACTTGCTTTGCGATAAGTAAACTAGTCCGTGTTACTAAGCCAAAATGCCGCCAATTAAAATTTGTACTATGTACCAAGATAAAACGCCGTATCTTCAATATTACTTACTGCGTTAATGCTTAGTATGGTGATTTTACGGTGTTATTACCTATTACCCATGAATTTTTCTACGGTTTACGGCGTTTAAGTTATTTGATTTTTGATTGTATTATATGTTTGGAGTAATATTTCAGACATACGGCATATTCATCTACACAAGCCGAATTTCACAATAATTTTTTGTTTATAACCTCATTTTTTATTTTTTTGGGACTTACGGCGTTTTCGCTTATGACGGCAGAATACACATATTATACAAAAACATCATAAGGTAAAATCTGAGCCATATTAATTATCTATTGTATAATTAGTTATTTTCATAATCGATTAAATGCTTAATTGATCAATACAATTGATTAGTCAAAAGCTTAAATACACGTGTATACAAAATGTAAATACCAATTTCTATCTATAGTTTCATTAAAAGCATTAATTTAATCTACCACTGATTATTGATATATGAAATAACCACAGTCATAAAGCTTAATCAATAATTTAGCTAAGTGATTTTGTAAAGTTTAATTAGTTAATTTAATTATTAATATATTCAATAAATTACCCAAGTAATTTTTAGATTGATATAATTGAATACTGAACTCTTTTTCAAATGAGAATGCACCGGTACCAGACAAAATCTGGTTATAGTTTAGCATCTGCATCTGTTCTCGTTTTAAAAAAAAGAGTATAGTTTATATTATATGATATCCCACAGTGTTTGGTTCTATAAATAGCTTATTGAAAACAAAATGTGTGTACTCATTGAGTAATATTGTTGTGAATGGCCCCATGTTTCTATTTAAGATTATGATAAAAATCAATAAATAAAAGGTTGAATATTAAAATTTTTCTTTCTATAGTTTGTTTTGTATGTTCTTATTTGTGTTGTTTAAAGGAGTGCAGCAAACATATTTAATGCTTAGAAATTGTATGTATACTCTATCCACTTTAACTGGATGTCACTACAATTCTCATCTTACAAATATTCAACACAGCAATTCTGCATACATTAGAATACATTTTGTTGCTAACTTTAAATATTAGATTAACTTACCTATAGTCAAATTTAGAGGTAGGAATATAATCCAGGAAAACTCAGGTTTTTATTGATATTTTATTGAAGCAAGTTAGTGTCTAAATAATTTGCATTGTTATAATTAGTGCTCGGATTTATATGTAAATACATATTTACATATTTACACTATGACATAGTAAACTAATTTCAGCAAGTGAAAATTTGTTTCACAAGACTTTTTATGAAATCAACCATATATCATACATATTTCACAACTATTCAATTTTTTTCTACAGATTAAGATCATTTTACTATTTTTAATGTGCTTCCTTCAGAGTTCAGAGTGATAGAAAGCTTGTCATAAGTTGTATAGAATAATATCGTTTAACATTTTCAACATTTACAAACTAATAAGCACAAAGAGAACAAAAATAGAAAGCTGAAATTCAAACAAAGTTGATTTATCTTGTCATTTTGTTGGGAAATTTTTAGTTTTGACCTAACCAAACAGTTTAATACAAGATATCTAGAAATTATTTTGTATTTTTTCTAAGGTTTAAGTATAATATAATAAAATGTATATATTATTTAATATTCTATCAAAACGTAATATAATGCCCTGTGTTTTTATAACTATACATTGTTTGGATTGTTATACTAATGTTATGTTATTTGTCTAATAGTTGGTGATTAATTCCTTAATCAAACGATCGTCAGTTTACCACCAACAAGAACAAGTGGAAAAATCTTTTGAAGATTTAAAACGTGCAGAAAATATTGATCCCAACAGCTCTGAAGTATTTCACCATCGAGCTCAAGTAATTCTTATTATAACATTAAATTAGGAATGAGTTTATTATAAATACATATTATGAGGAAAATATGTTATTTTTTAGATTTATTTATTAGAAATGAATAGCGAGAAAGCAGTTGAAGAATTTAAACGGGCAGTGGAATTGAATCCTAAATTTATATTATCAAATGTTCAATGTTGTTACGCTCAATATCTTCATGCAAAACACACATCAAATGAATTGGACACTGAAAAATTCCTAAACAAGTTAAAAGGATTTGTTATTAAATACCCAGACTATGCTGAAAGCTACACCCTATATGCACAGGTAAAAATCAATTTTTAAAATCAATTTTTAGTATATTAAGTAATTTTTAAAATCTTTTTGAAGGCTTTGACAGAAAAAGGAGCATATGAAGAGGCAGATATGTTGTTCAAAAAGGTGTATGAAATTTATCCAGAAAATGCTACTTTATTAGTACACAGAGGTTTTTAAATTTTTAAGTTCTTAAAATCATTGAATATATTATCATTATAAAATATACAATGCCAACTGTAAAAATATACACAATTTTTCAGCTTTGGTTGTATTATCATGGAAAAGTTCCATCAGCGAAGCATTCACCTTCCTCCAACAGGCAATAAAAGTTGACCCGAAATGTGATTATGCTTATGAAACATTGGGAACACTGTATATTCAAACGTAAGATATTACTACAAATTATACTGATTTATCTATAGTTAAAATTATTTGAAATTAGGTAAAAACAATTGTTGGGAATCATTTGTTCTTAATTTATATGCAAACAAATATTTTGTTTAAACCTTATTTTCATATTGTTGCAAAAATCACCAAGACATGCATTTTTATTTTCACTTACCTGAACAGTTTAAATCACAACTAAACTTTGACTTAGTATTCAAAATCATCTTGCATAGATCACAGAATAAAAATCAATTTTTTTACCTCACATATTAATGTTTAGAAACACAGTCAACTGCAACCAGTTCTTAACGGTGGCAGTTAGGCAACACTTTTTGTCACCCGACCAAGTCAACTATCTCTATACATGCAGTGTAGTATTCCCATGCTGCTGAGCACAAATCGGTCTGACTGTGTTTCTTAACTTGAATGCATTATAGATCAGAGCTGGGTTACTTGCTCATCAGAACCAATTTGAATTCGTTCTTTTTATTTGTATGATTATAATTTTGATTATCGTAATCCATTATAAACAAATATATTATAAATTATTTTAATTATTACCTGTATTAAAAAAGTTTACCCTTTATTTATATTATATTATGTAAGTTATATGGTCATTTGTGATAACTGTTGCAGAGGAAAATTAGAAGAAGCTGTTGAATGTTTGGAAAAAGCTGTACCTTTGTCCAAGTCTGAAAAGGAACTATTACACATATTTTCATTGAGAGATTCAGCAAGGGCACAGTTAGCAGTAGTTAAACGTTTGGGATTAACGCCTCAACTTTAATAATTTTACCTTCACCTCTTTATAATCATTATTAAATAAAATAAAGAACTTTAGTTTTTTTTTAATAAATATTAGTGTTTTTCATTTGTTAATAATCAGTGATACAACTTCTTTATGTAGGTAATGATAAATTGTTTGATAATTATTTGTTGTTGAGTATTTTGAGTATCTATAGTTAAATGTTTTGTACAATCTATGGTGGCATATCTTTACATTATTGTAAATTTATGTACATTATTTATTATAAATTCATAATAATAATAGAGTATTGACAAGTGATGTACATACTATTCATGAATTTTTAACAGCTTTATGTAAATTACTTGGTGAAAATTAAATTTAACTATTTGAATGTATGTATTATTTTATAGGTATTATGTATTCTTTATTTCACTCAAACAATAAACCATTAATCTTTTTATCTGAGAAAGTGAGGGGAATCAGTTTAGTTAGGTAAATGTTTGAGTACAAAGGTAACCAGATTTTTAATTTTTTATATAAACTGTAAACATCTGAATCCTTTGATACCTATTACAAACTATTTATTGTAGTTTTGCTATCAATATTGACGAATAAAATTTAATAAACCATTGCCATACATTTTTTTTTTACTAAATATACAATAAGTTGTTAAAAATTTTAATGTGTAAGGCTTATTACATGTAATGCATGTTATATGGCATTGATGGTTATTATTATTTTTTATTTGACATGCACCTATTTCGCTTATGCGTTGATTAATTTTTGAATTGAAAATCATGAAGTTGGTATATATAATAATATTAATAATAGGTATCATGTTTTGGTTCTAAAAATGATCTAGAATGATGACTGTTTTTTTTTTGAGTTTCAGTGCCTTGGGGTAATTTCTCCAAATCTTCCCCACAATGTTTCCGAGACCGAATTATGTATACGTAGATAGTGTGTCACGATTTATTATTAAAACTATAGCTGGTAATTGACCAACTGATGTAGTAACTCATTGGTAATTAATCGTATCAGATCTAAGCTGTTAAGGTTACCGTAATACTGAATAGTGAATACATCATGCAAATCTCGCTGTTAAATTTTTATAGACCTACCCACAGCCCCGTCCCCGTGTGTTACATCGATAATAATAGCATAATACAATAATAGACAATAATATATTATTTTATGAGCAGGCGGTTTGCGCCAAAATGATTTTTTGTATTTTGTTTCATCATCGTCAATATTGTAATATTGGTATTAATCAATTATTGCCAGTTGTGGTCGACTGTAGACTGTGACCGAGGTTTGTAATCTAAAATTAACTTTGGTCTTTTTCTGTTCTGATTGAATCCCACTTTGGTTGTTTTATTATTACTCTCTGGTCTGTTTACTGTTAATACGTAACCACGATTATAAATAATTAGAGTTCTGCGTAATCTGTAAGTATATCTTATCGTGTCTGTGGCCGAGCTTGAACCACGGATATAATTTATATTATAGATTTATCGTAGACCGTAGTGTTTAATGTTTTCATTAGCAATTAGATGCTAATTTGCTTAAAATAATAATTATTCTGTCAAGTAGAAAATTTGTAAACTCAACAGTATATATATTTTTTTGTAATTCAACGTTTATAACATAATATAATTACCGTAATTTAGCGACAAAAATTGATCAATACACGATCGTTGATGGATACTAGGTAAGCTAGATTTGATTATATGTATTTAAGCAGTACGATTCATAGTATGGATTACAGAATTCTGTACTCACAGATTTCCTATACTAAAGTATTTTTTTTTTATAGTAAAGTTTGTAGAAGTGTATATTATTGTCTAATTGTTCTACATAATATATTATGATAACATTGTTTAACTCTTGTTGGTACTCGAGTATCAGAGTTTTCCAATAAGTTAAACTTGTATCATTGGATAGAATTCAGGACCAAAGTTGTATGTAGGTACATACATTTAATATTATGTGAATGCATTGTTCCTCAACTAGTCAACTACTCTGGCGTGGTAGAAAAAATAAATATTCAATGAGTTATTTTTGAATTTAATGAGTTGTAGAAAATATTGTTTAGTGAGTAGTGACATAAGAAACCTTAAATTATACACAGTCTGGAGTTGAATATTTTATTACCTATTATTATTATTACTGTTACTATTATCAAGAATTTTAATCTAAAATATCTGAATAATATTAACATTTTTTTAAAATTTAATTCTTAGTTGTAGGTTTTTATTTCTACTTCCATTATTTTAGAAAATTCCAAAAAATAATAAAGAAATAATCAGTAGAAAATAAGTATGAAACCAATTTAAAATTGTAAGGTATGTCCCATAGATTCAATTTTAGACACTTAAATGTATGACTAGGCATTACTTTACAATGTTATTGTTCTAAATCATTGAACAACTTATAATTGTAAGGACATAAATATAGAATTTTTTTTAAAAATAAAGTATCCTTGTATAATATTATAGTATAATTTTACTCAACATATTGTATTATGTGTACATTATAACTAATAAATGTTTTATTCTATAGATCGAAAATTAAAAAAATGACGAAGAAAAAGGTTTGTTTTACAAAATTAAAATAAATAAGTATTCATTTATAAATCAAATGAACACAGGTAGTTTGCGCTACTGTCAGCAGTCTATGAACTAAAATGGAATGAGTTTAGAATTTACTATCAATTTAAAATGTATTAAAGTGTCTGATTATCTTTTACATTATACATTTTAGATGTCAAAACAGCTAACTAAAATATCACCTAAGAAGAAACTTTATACTTCATCCTGTGATAAGTATGAAACAATTATGGCTGAAGATAAAATAAAGGTCACCAAATCAAACAAAGGTTAATTTTTTTGCTATGCCTAATATGTTTTGATTTGATCTATATATTTATTATAATTTTTAGATAAATCATCAGCTGCTACTTCTTATGTTAACTCTTCAGAAAATGATAAAAAATTGTAAGTACCTATCTATGAATGTTATTTGAGTTAATTGCCCGGTTAATAGTTAATGTTCTTGTTTTATGAATGTTTATGGTTTTTAAATTATATGTAATGTATTTTAATTTATTAAATTTGAGTTTCATAGTTTAGTTAGAAATGTGTTCTGCTTGATTAACCATTTGAATCTGAAAATGTCTTATTTTAATAACTAAAAATAATTTGGTTTAATGTTTATTGTATATTTCATACCTATATGATATCTTTTATAGCTTTTAAAATAAACTAGTATTAAATAAATGTATAGAATATAATATTTTATTATGATGTATCTTCTTATCATTTTCAATGTGTTAGGTTAATATTTTGCTCTAGATGAAACAGTGTGAAATCATTTAATCTTTTCTTTTACATTTGAATTTTTACCCCCAAGACCATAGGCGCAATAATCCTAAATTTTTAAAAAAACCTTTTCATCTAATTTAAGGCTTATATATTATGGGCTTTAATCTAATAAGTATCAAAGGATTAACAGTTACTTTAATGAATATTAATACACTCTCAGTGCACTATTGTCTGTTTGTTTTCTGCAGGGCTGTTCTGACAGGGTATGGCAACTAAATAAATATGCATGTGTAACTTCTTAATAAAATCTTGAGTTCTTGTGTACAGAAAAATAACTGCAGACAAATGACATTTTCACTGAATGTTAATATTTTCATTTTCTATACACCTTACAATTTTAAAAATATTTTGATTCTTTAAACTATTTATTGGCATCAGAAAACTTAGAAAATGGGTAAATGCATCATAAAAGTATGGTTAGTATTTTTATCTTTACCTGAGCAATTTAAAAAATATTAGTAATATGTATTTTAATTAAGTGTTTAGGTATTATAAACCACTAATATAATATACCTAATATATTTCTAATGGCTTTTGAGTTCATCGAGAAAAAAATGTTTTGAGTGGCAAATTGACTCTCCCATGAATTGTAGTTAAGGAGGACCTTGATTGTTTCTTTCCAACCAACCCACAAGATACATAGCAAATTTGGGTTCACCAGAACCAACCATATGTTGTTAACTTTAATACTAAATTGAATTGACCTACTATCAAACTTAATGACGAGAATATATAAAAAAAAAATGATAGTTTTTAGTGAGTCCACCATATTCAACATTAATGTGCTGAAAACTTAAAAGTAAAAATTAGCCTATGATACTACAGATCTTGCCGAATCTATTGATAAAAATGTTATGAGTTGGTTTTCCTTCAGATTTTTACATGGTTGGTACATAGCATATCATAAATATTCTTGTTAAATTTATAATAGTTTACTAAAGTCTTGTTTATACTTATACATTAATATAAATCTTAATAAAGAATCTAAAATATTATTGTTAGATTAAGATCTTAGTGCACCCATATGTCTATATAAATCACTGAAATGTAACCCCTTTTTAGAATGCTAATCATAATTGGTTAATTTTCTCAAATATTTAATTCATACAAAATTTAAAATTAATTATCTTTCCTATAATAATATACTGACTAACTTTGTCACTTATGAGTTAATAGTTATTATATTTAAAAAATATTTAAACCAGTTGAGCAAAAATAGTGTTATTAAGACACTTTAAAATAGTTTTGCCTCAAAAATGTTATATTGTATCATATGGATGAACAACTTATATAATGCATAAAAATTAATTTATGTATTATAAATTTTTTTTTGTAGATTAAAAACACAAAGAAAAAAGATTAAAAAAAAAAAGAAAAAAGATTCTAAGGTTGTAATGTTTTCCTTCAGTTTCTACATAATATAAAATATTGAAATACTAATTTTAAATTGTTTTTATAACCCAAACACAGGTTCATCATATAAACAGTTTGAAAAATGATGATACTGCGCTTCTTATTGACGCAAGACATAATCAATTTAAAGAGTGTTTTGTATTACTTTCAGATATTAATGAACACCAAAAAATACATATATCTCACAAAGGTTAGTATTTTTACTAAGAATTCTAAATGTTATAATACAATTTATATGTTATAATAACATTTTTATATTTAGCTTCTACTAACAAAAGTGCAAAGATTGGTTCAGAAAATAATGAATATTCATCAATGTAAGTACACAAATTACAAAATTATTTAATTACTATTTTTTTGTCATTATTTAACATGAAGTGATATTTACAATCAATACTTAAAAAAGCACAATAAGTAAATTTAATTTGTTTAAAAGAAAAAAAATATTTTAAATTATATGATTACATGAGGAAGGAAGGTATAGTCTTTGGCTAAGACAATGTTAAATATAAATTTGTAAACACCTATATAAATTACTGAAATTCCTCTTTTCTAGAATGCTTAGCTAAATTGATTCATTTCCTCAAATATTTTAGTTTATTATAATGCTAAGTTAATTAAATTTTCTACGAAATATACTCTTTAAATTTGTAACTTAATATATTTTAAAGATATTCAAACCAGTTGAGCAAAATTGTTCTACTGAGATTTTGAAAATTGAATGAACATATATTATACGTCATTGTGTTAGACATAAGTTATCCATACAATATATATTATATTTGTGTATTATATTTTTTTTTTAGATTCACACAAGTAAAAACGATTAAAGAAATAAATAAAAAAGATTCTAAGGTTGTAAATTTTATTCCGTTTTTATAAAATTATCAAATAGTTTTTAGAAACATTTTTTTACTTAGGTCCAAAATATAAATAATTTGAGACATGATGATGCTGCAGTTCCTACAGATGCAAGACATTATAGTCAATTAAAAGAGTGTTTTGTGTTACTTTCAGATTTTAATAAAAACGAAAAAATACATATACCTCTCAAGGGTTAGTATTACTACTAAAAATTCTAAATGTAATAGTACAATTTTTATGTTATGATAACATTTTTATATTTAGCTTCTACTAGTAATAGTACAAAGATTAGTTCAGGAAATAACAATGAATATTCATCAATGTAAGTATTAAAGTTACATAGGTACTTGTTTGTTTAGTTATTATTTTTTTTTGTAATTATATAATTTTTGAGAAAATGTGAATTAGAAATCTCAGAATTCCCGGAACACATTCAAATTACTGCAATTAGTTCATTGTTCATTGAGTATTACATTTTTTTGGAGGTATTTTTCAAATTATACTTTTAAAATATTATTTCCAAGTGTGCTGTTTCTTGAACCATAATTGTTAAATAATTAGAAAAATACTTCTCATTTGTCTATTTTTTTTTTGTAATATGAAAGTATAACGTGGTTAATTTTTTGATTTAAGATGAAACTAATTGTCTTACAAAATTATTTGAGTAATGACTAAATTTAATAAATAACTTAGAAATACTTAAGAAACCCAATCAAAAATTTTACATTTTCTCAAATACTTTTATTTATATATAATGCTTAGTTAATACATTTTCCTATGGAATATACTCTCGTTCTATCCGACCATATTTTTTAAATATTCATACTAGTATAGCAAAAATAGTATTGTTGAGATTTTGAAAATTTAATGAACATAATATAAATGTTATTGTTTTTAGACAAACATTGAATAATATAATATACGTATAATAACTTATGCATTTATTAATACTTTTTCTTTAGGGTGGAAACCAAAGAACAAATTATTAAGAAAAGGAAGAAAGGAAATGTTAAGGTTGTAACTCTTTTTTTATAGTTTTTATAAAATATTGAAATAATCTGTTGAATATTTTTTTTACTTAGGCAAAAAAAATAAAAAATTACATAAATGATAATGCTGTGGTTTGTACCCAGAAGAAACATTGCAATCAATTAAAGGAGTGTTTTGTATTGCTTTCAGATATTAGTGAACACAAAAAAAATCATAAATCTCACAAGTGTTAGTATTTTTACCAGCCATTTTAAATGTTTATTATACAATTTTTATGTTATGATGATTTTTTTCACTTAGCTTCTACTAGCGGTAATATAACGATTAGTTCAGAGAATGATAAAGAATATTCATCAATGTAAGTTTACAAATTACAAATTTGTTTAGGTGTATAATTACTATTTTTTTGTCATAATTTGTTGATTTTAGAGACAATGTGAATTGGTCATTTTAAAACACCAATTAAAATTACTAAAATTTACCTTTTTTATAATGCTAATAGAAATAAATAATTTTCACAAACTTTAAAATGTGTATAGAATGTCAAATAATTTATCTGTGCTATGGAGTATTATACTCCCTCTATTAACGTTGTTATGTATTATATTTAAAAAATATTCAAATCAGTTGTGCCAAAATGTTCTATTGTCATTTAAAAAAATGAATAATTTTAGTAATTAGTATAATATAACTTGAATACTTGTTTAGACATAACTTATCCATAATGTCTTCTATAGTAATTTAATAATGTATTTCAATTTTTTTTAGATTAAGAACTCGAGGAAAAAATGTTAAAAAAATAAATAAATATAAGGTTATAATTCTTTACTTCATTTTTTATTTATTAAAACATAAAAATAATTTGTTGAACATTATTTTTTCTCAGGTCAAAAAAATAAGCAATTTGGAAAATAATAATGTTGCGATTCATACCGAGAAGAGACATTGCAGTAAATTAAATGATAGTTTTGTATTGCTTTCAGATGTTAGCAAACACAAAAAAAATCATAAACCTAACAAAGGTCAGTATTTATGCAGTAAATTATAAATTGATTGATAGTATTAAAAAATGTTTATTTAGCTTCTACTAAAAATAAGTCAATGATTGGTTCATTTGGTTCAGAAAACAACAAAGAATATTTATCAATGTAAGTATAAAAATAGCAAACTTAAGGTCATTTTTAGTTTCTGAGTGGAACAATGGAAATGCCTGTATAAATCAAAGGCTTTTAATTTCTTTAGAATATTATTCCAAATTTTTCTCAAATTTTTTAATTTACACATAATGTCAAATTAAATATATGTGCTATGAAACATACTATTGATAATAATCTATATTCTGTTTAAATGTAATAAATATTTTGCAAAAATTGTTTGATAGAGATTTTGAAAATTGCTGTTCCGTATTGATGTTAAATTGTATATGAACAACTTTTATATTTTAATTCAAAATAGTTCAGTTATCCATTGAAATTGTTTTTGTTTTAGATTAGAGACACAAGATCAAAACATAAAAATGATTCTGAGGTTGTAAATCCTTTCTTTATTTTCTATTAAATATCAGAATAGCTTTTGAACATTTTTTTTTCTTAGGTCAAATGTTGAAAAAAATTGAAAAATTATAATGCTGCAATTCATGTAGAAAAGATATAGTATAATCAAATAAATAAGCGCTTGTATTTCTTTCAAATAATAATAATCACACAAAAAAAAAAACTCATAAAACAGACAATGCTCAGTGGACAGTATTTATTTCAATTGTGTTTTTTTTTATATTACATACAGACATATTTGTTCATTCCAAAATTTTCATTTAATATTATGTATAGTATGAATTACAAGTTAAATAAAGTATAGGATTTATATAAGTTTCAATTAATCAACCATATTTTGAAACATTGCCCCTTGAATTCCTAGCATTTCTAAATTAATACATTTTTTTAATTACCTTTTAAATCTTTATATATATTTTATATTCAAAAATGGTGATTGTTAAAGTCATGTATGTTAAAGACTTAAACCTGAAAGCCAGTCACAAATTTTTTTCTCTAGTTATTGTAGAACTTGAATACATAATATTACTTGTTACTTAACGGCACCATTGTTGTTCGCAACAAATATTTTTGCCTCAATAATAAATATCATTATCACATAACAAGATAGACCATGTGGTCGATTGATATTGGATACCCACATGAGTTTTGTGTGGTAAGTTCATGAAGACTCGTGACTAGACTAAAAGTGTATTATATCTAGGTACAGTCGTTGTCAGATAAATTGGTGTACCGCTTGATTGTTATGAAAATTGTTTTTTACGAAGTACATTATTCGTTACTAGCAAAATGACTCAATGCCTCTTGGCTCTTATATTCAACCTACTATATTCTACTATGAATTATAATCGAATATCTATTCTTAATAAATTAATTTGCAATTAATAATTTCCTTTAAGTACAATTATGGTTTTATCATATTGTAATAAAATACATAGGTACATAGAGTTAATACATTTCTAAAAATTAAAAATCAAAAGAGTTTGCATTCCTATCTCTGAATTGGAAATCGTTTTTTAAGTTTTAGGGTATTAATTACTTTTTTTTTTAAATATTTAAGAGAAAAATGAAGAGTTGATTATTTTTCATTTTTATATTTTCCACCATTCGAATGATTCAATTATATCTACCTATCGCGAAAAAATAAAAATACTTAAAACAAAATTTTAATTTGTTTTCTAGATAAAACCGCTTTTTAAATTGTAAATATAAGTGCATTAATTTGTATAGTTTTATGAGCATTTTTTAAGTATTTAGGTCATTAATATAATGTACAATTTTTTACGACATTTTTTCATTTTTCATTTCATAAATATGTTTATTAGAGCTTCAACATCCAGCCCTATAGGTAATAATGATTATTAATGGTTGTATGGTAGCTATATCATGATTTTTATTATCAGGGTTTTGTATTACCTACTGGTTAAAATTTGATCGTTGTCTGTGCTAGTATCTGACTGTAGTAGATTGGGGATTTAAATAGATGTGGTAATCATGGTTTTAAAAATCAGCTATTATTTTGTTTTGGTTCTCAGGTTGTGGAATCACGTTCCGTCAGAGGTTTTGAAATTGGTGAGGATATTTATTTTATAAACTGGGTTTTTATCCAGTCTTGGAGGAGAGGTATTCCTGTGTCTTTCTGAATTTGCCTATTCCGGCAGAGCCACGAGGCTTTAGTCATATTCTCAAAAATGTAGTCTGGAGAGTGGAGAATTTAGATTTGGTTAATTTTGGCCGAAGAGGCTGGTGCCCATACTGGGCGGGGGGAAATTGATTAGTTGTCAGATTATTGAAGTATTCCGATAGTTGATGGAAGTTAGCTACGATTACAAAAACGACATCTGTTTATATATTATTTTGTTTAAATATATTATAACAATTTCAATTTTTCCAATGTATAAAACGTCCAAAATTATATTCAAGATTTATTGGCTATATATAATAATGATCATTTTTATAGTAACTCCTAATAAATGGTGTAACAGAAAATATTGGTACAGAAATTAAAATTCCACGCATTAGGTATATAGAAAAAAAATTGATCAAATTATGAAACTGATTCTTTTAAACGTACTTAGTTATTATGCAGATTTCCTCTCCACGAAGAGAGTACTCCTGACTCCTCTCACACTCCTCTCAAGTTTGTCATAAAATATACAACATAAATGATTTCGAAAAAAAATCAAGCTTAGAAGTTAGTTATAAGTTATAAGTCAACACTATTAAATAGGAAATATTATAGAGGTATACTCAGGTATCTGATAGTTGGCAAACATCAGTATTGGATTGATTAATATTTGAATTGATTGAAACACAGAGTAAAGAAATGTAATTTATTAGTTTATTGGCGCATTGCCTATATTATCCTGCGATTATTCAAATACTTAATGTTTTTTGGTACATCACTGCCTCCGACAACGTGCAATAGTGTAACAGTTTTTATTTATCAATACTGAATTATAAAAATTATTTTCAATTTTTATTTCTTTTTCCGTGTTTATTGAAATTCATTTTAATTAATTAAACTACACCATATTATAAATAGTATTTAATATTAATATATTTATAAATATTAATTAACTATACGAGGTGTATTATATTATTATAAATATTAATTTACTATACGAAAATAGATTGCATAAATATTAATTATTAATAGGTACATTTATATGTTGAAGTAATACTAAACTTGTACTACTCTTAGGTGCATTTTCTTTTTAATTTTGTTTTCCGCTATCGACGTACCACGGCCATGATGGATATGATAGCTGATCTTTTGAAGTAACTATTATTTTGTAGAATGCTGAAAAAAAATTTTTATATATCTATAAACGTCAATATTATTGTCTTACATTACCTCTGCAATATTAGTTTAATTGGTATAATGGTACAATGGTACCAAATTCCAAATGTATGATTATACAATGATTAATAATGCGCATTCGATCCCATATCTGTTTTCTACCAAAATAAACCTATCTTATACCGACTGTAATCGTCTATTCTAGTCATTAGATAAAGCTGCTTACAACATATTTGAATTTATCATGAAGCTTTCTTGGAAACAACTTTTCTATTGTTTTGAAATTGAATGCATTAACTCTTCATAATTAGATTTTTAAATTTTGAGTACTTAGAATTTTAAAATGTAAATAATATTGAAGTGAAAAAATTAATTAAATAATGTAAGAAAGTCGTTTTCAAGTAAATTTTATGACAAATTCAAATATTTTTTCAGAAATTTGATGGGATAAATAGGGAAGTTATTATGATTCATTTATGAAGATTGATACTTTTAACCAAAAAAAAAAAAAAAAATGAACCAAATAATAATGCGTTATAGCATAGAACAATATAGAAGCGACACTCAGCCTAGTGGCTGATCTCTGGTTAGGTTAACCTAACCTGTATATAGGTACCTATTATGTTTTTGTGAGTATTATTTTAGTAGGCACCGATCATAAGCTGCTCGAGTTCTCGACGTTCGTTTATGGCTCGTTTGCGGTTGCGGTAGGCTTACAGAATTCGAAATCATAATATGATTATTTCAAACAGTTTTATTTGTTAAGATGAGTTATAATGTAACTGCTATAGCGCAAAAAAAAATTCAAGCAAGTAAAATTTAATCATATGATCAAAAAAAAAAATGTATTTCAACTAGGTTGTTAATATAGGTACTTAAATTAATATGCTTGCTTTAATACTTAACGTAATTACTAATTATTATATATTACATATTTACATAACGTATTATGCATAATTAAGTTGCTAGAGGCGCAGCATATAATAACTAATATATTAACTATATATATTCCCATATATTAACTAAGACACTAAATCGATCAAAACCAAAAAAACTGTACTCAGTCCGAAAATACAATATGTATTAATACAGTTAATTTGAATACTACATCGCCGAAAATATGATTTCACTAAGCAGATTTTATTATGCATCTTTAATCGCGAATTAGGAGACAATTCGATTAAATACATCAAATAATGCTCATTAGTCTAATGAAAATTATCAAGGCTTTTATTCGCACCTATCTCACGAATTAACTATTAATAACTAATAAGTAATAACTATTAATGCAATCGTGATTCGCGATAGGTACTTAATATATTAGTTATGTTTTTTGTCAAAATTGCTCCATAGTACCTATTTAAATATAAGAAACTTTAATAGCATAATAATATTTTATAGTTCGACATAAATTATTGCAGATAATTATAGAAATTGATTTTTTTCGACATACTAAAAATTGGTATAAAAAAAATATATTTTTCATGTTATTTGTGATTCATAATATTTGGACTAACCTTGCCGATTATCCATAATCACAATAGTTAATAGTTATAAAAGCGCAATAAGCCCGCAGAATGAGGTTCATATAGAAAAAATGTGTTGTATAATTTTATAGTAAATGCAAAAAAAAACATTATAAGTAAAATATAAATACTTACATGAGTAATCAAACGTGTAAGGATTATAATCCATCGAATTTGAAACTAAAAAATTATTTATTTACTCCATATGTGTTATAAATTCTGAGAGGAGCGATAATATGTGTTTATTTGGTGTCTGTCATCGCTCATCACCTTTTGGATTAGTTCATAAAAGTAACAATGTTTAACTAATTAACAATAACTAGAAAACCACTGGTTCGAATTTTGATTTCGATACATCAAAATTCTCAAAAAAATTATCCTCTAAATAATTTAAAGAAAAAAAGTGGGGTTCTCATTTGAAAAACAAAGGTTCGTATCGCCACAGAACACTCCTTAAGTGGCACAAAAAATCTCAAGAATATGAATATATGGTCTTTGAATATATTTAAAGATTCCAAAAATCGGATTTTGAAAAACTTTATTATTAAAGAAAAAAAGGGGGCGAGCATACTTGTTGGATTACCCTTTATATACCATTCTATTTTATCCTATGATAGATGACATGAATACATAATATGGAATATATAAACCAATGTATTGTACATTTGTACTTAATTTAGTGACAATGATTTACCTTTGAGTAATTTATCGAATGTGTCTCTTGACACCGGTATGCCTATAAAACAAAATATAAATTTTTTATTATACCACAGATTATTCACAACGTATATGGTTCATACAATTATAAGATTTATAAATTTAAAATCTCCTCCGTAGATCATTATAATGCGATTTTGAATAATTAATTACACCGGCAACTTTGAAAATATTTTATTATGTTTATTTTATAATAAAACATTTAAATACAACAGATTACCTATAAAAAGCTCTATTTAAGTATATCTACATATTAAATTGTAAATTTCCTTGTTACTCATTGGTAAGTTTTAAAGTTAAGTTTATCTTAAAATATTACATATTTTTGTGTTAATGATTAAAAAAATATTTTTCTGAAATAAGATTTATATTCCGCTACTTATATAAACAAGAAAAACTAGTATGTTAGAATTTTTGAGTTAAAATGTATTATTCTAAATACAATATAAATTATACTTACTATTCTTACATTCCATATTTTCAAGATAATCATCATAATTACGATTGGTTTCTTTCGGATACGCTAAAATGTTTAGTTAAATGTAAAATAAAAATTCAGTCACTATTTTTAAATATCTAATAAATAATGATAAAAAAGGATTCTGCAGACTCATGAATAAAACTCAGTTAAGTAGTAAGTACTGATAAATTATATTGGCAATAAATCAATATTACGAGTTGTAAGAAATAATTAAATGGGTAATATTATATATTTTACTTATTAATATAATAACTTACAGTCAAATAAATTTTGATAAAGCTCTTCAGGTAATATTTCAGGTTCAACATGTTCCTTGATGCCATCACGTTTTGCTAAAGACGCTATTAATTATGACATATTTAATTGGATGATTAGTTAAATTTGATTAAAAAAATGGTATTTTATCTAAGTCAAAATTGCCAATTGCCATGATTATTTATTTTAACACTTTTCATAATATGTTTCTTTCATATCATTCTTATTGCAGTCAATTATATAAATTGACAATAGGTACTCGTATTCAATAATAACAAATTAGATAATGTAGACAGCTTTATGTACTACATAATATGTTGGAAATAAAATTACAAGCGATTTGTAAAGTAACACGGCTATTAATAGCTCTCTTAAGAAAGAGATAATTATTCACCACAAACACGATACACACATACATCAGCAGTTCACCAATAAAAACACTAGTATATGGAATGTAGTACCTACTGTAAGGGGCATTATTATGGATGATATATATGCATATATTTTATGGTTTAAAACTTTGTGTTGGAGAAGAGTGTTAAAAATCTCTGGATTAATCGCGTGTCATACGAAGCAGTATATTATAGGTTAGGAGAAAATTAGTCAACCTGGATGACAATCATGGAGAGAAGAAAGAAGTTCAGAGAACATCTTGTAATGAGTAATACATGGGTTATGGGTACATATATTATTGAAGGAAAAATCGAAAGAAAACTACGAGTTCATGAACAGGAAGATCAATGAAGTTTTATATGAAGTAAAAATGATCTTATAAAGAATTGAAGGAAGCTACTATGGATAAGAATGGAGGAACACTACATCATTAAGCTATGGATTGAAAAAAAGCACCCATTGTTAAAAACAAAGGATTAGTAATTGTGATTAAAGTATTACCTACAAATTCAAATATAAATAGTAAATAAAATAAGTATAAATAAATAGTAAATAAAGTACAAAATACAATAATACAATATAATATCGATTATACATTTAAATACCTTCTCAATGTTTAATTGAATTATTAAATAATGAAACCATAATAATAATATTAAATATAGTTTACCAACCAAGTTTATTTATTCTGATTATATAATCATCACGGCGTTCATTTGGTATTGGTAAACCTAAATAAATTTAAATTAAAGTATATTTTGATTAAATATGTATTATTTAGAAGAAGAATATTTTGAGGGCAATCGTAATTTGCTCCACAATTGACTTTATATGCACCATGGTGTATGGAGATTGGAGCTATTAAAAAATATCGAAACAATTTGAAAGTAACTTTTAAAATACATTTTAATAATAATGCACTATTGTACCACAAAAATGGCGATAACATGATTGTAATCCGCAAACCCCAATATCAAATGTTATAGAATTTAAAACTCAAATATCTATTTATATAAAAAATAAACAAGAAGTCAGAATATGTCCACAATAAGTATATTCAGTTACAAAACCGTAACTGCACTATACTAACTGTACAGATTCTGTGACATCACCCATGATAAAACCAAATGAAACTTGAAAACACATTAACACAGGCTTCCTAACTAACCTAACTCAACCTAGTATTTAGTAGTGTATGTAACTAAGTAGGTACCTACTAATATAAAAGGAGCTAGGTATGCTGAAAACTTAAAATCACGGTTGAGTTATATCTATAACCGATTATCCGTGGCCCGCGCTACAGAATCATGGGCAATAATATAATAATAAAATAGATATAGAATCACCCAGTTTACATGAGGCTATAGGACTTCAAGTTAGAATAGCCAGATAGCATTTCCGGTGACTACTCTGGCTTGGCACAAGGTAGGACGGCTTACATGACGCTATAGGTGTAGCTGAGTATGTCCGGTATAACCGCTGGAAATACTAGCCTCGTGCAGACCGGGCGTATAAAATGATTATAATTTATAATAGACCGTCATCATTTGTGGTCAATCGTAAGATCACTTTAAAATAAATAGTGAATATGTAATGATCTACGCAATAAACCTATTATGAATGCACATTACAAATTACCATGTAGATCTACCTTTTGTCATCACAGTGCATACTAATTTAGTAAAAAAAAAGATTCGCATCCCCCAACCGCGCCCTAAATGGAAATCCTCGATAGTAAAATTATTATAACTCTAACTCGATTCGAACTGAATACGTTAGGTTTAGGTATTTAATATTCTGTTCGAGAATAAGGCATATATATTGTTCATATGATGGATTTAAGTAGGTATTGTGCTTAAACAATTAATATATGCTCACTGAGTTTGAACACTTTAAATTCTTCGAAGGTCATAGCTCCATATATTTTGACAGACGTGGTTCCAGATGTTTCTGCAGCAATGTCCGTGATTTCGGATGTTATTATAGCAGTGTTCATATCTCCGGACGTTTCTGGAGTAATCTCCGTATCTTGGGACGTTTTATAATCAAAAGCATGAAATTCTAAAAAAAATGAAAAATTAAGAGTTAATTTCAATATTGTATAGTAGGTATTCATTCATACTAATCGTAATATCTAATTATATACATTTTGGTATAATATGGTAAATTAATATTGGTTTCAAACTGTGGATACTAGAATTAGATATATATATATGTATAAGATATACTGTTTAGTGTTTATAGTAAAAGAAAGAAATTAGTATGTAGTACAATTATTATGTGCATTTAATTATTATACTTACTCATATACTGGACGAATAATGATAGCTGTTTCTTTGTTTCATCGTCACTGTTTATCACTAATAAATCACGTTTTTAATTAGCTGGTATTATATAATAAACTCGTTTGTATATTAAATTTTTTTTTATATTTATTAGGTACTATTGCTTATAAATACGGGTATTATGAATTATTAATATTTTGCATAGGTACTCATAACTCAATTAAAAATTAAAATATCGTAAAAAAAACAACGAGAGAACACAGATAATGTATTCTTATATTGAAATTTTATAATAGGCCAGTATTCACTGTAATTTTTAAACTAATAACACAGCATTGGAAGTGTTGGACGTAGATACATTCGGAGTTGCTTGATTGTGGCCCGAATACAGGTAGTCGTATTTTATCCCAAATATAAGTATCCCGAATGCGGCCCGTCCAAACACACATTGGTTCACAAAATAGCTTATAATTAATACAATTAAGCATTTTGTATTAGACATATTTGTATATTATGCAACTCAAATACAATGTCTTGTTTATGATTATTATCATAAATATATGAATTTAGATTATTAAAATGTCTTTATTGAATCTTTTAACAAAACTTTTACAATTTTTATTTGTACAACACCATTTTTCTATTTCATTTGCTAGTAACTTATGAAATCGAAATTTATATTATGAATACATTTATTATATGTTCCACCACTTACATTTTATCTAATTTTTTTTATCTTTAACGGACTGGAAATTATCACGTCGAATATTGGTGATTGTGAGAATCGTGAATACAATAGTTATATTATATTTATGTCAAAATACGTATCGGACGCAATCGGGATATTTATTTAGTTTTGATAACCACTGTATAGGTAGTTTTCTACCTAATGTGTACTGGCCGCAATTGAGATAGGTGAAAAGGTAAAAAGGTTAGTTTGGGCAGCAATCGGGTGACACCCGATACATTTTGGTATATTATCCATCAGTAAGACGGAGATAACATGCGGGTACGACGTCCTCTAAAGGGTATTTAAATAAATAGTAAAATCAATTAGAAGCAACTTACAACTATTGTAGAAACGTTTTTTATAAGTGTCGTAATCTTCATCTATTTGAGGAAACACTAAAACAAAAACGAATTATTTTTGTACAATTAATTCGGCACTCAAAGGGTTAAATTCCATAATAACAAATTATAAACATATATTTAATTTGGTGCCTATGTCACATTTTTTTTTATCAAGATACGTTTTGATGAAAATTCCGTCTGATCCCAAACGGCTCCCGTCTATTGTTCGCTTATTCCTAAACGGCTCCCGTCCAAAAAGGTCTAACGAACAGATGAATTCCGAAACGGCTGCCGTCCAAAAAAAATGTTCAAATAGGTATAAATGCACAATTGTAAACTCTACAATAATTATTGGACATATGCACGCCTGTCTTCCAAAACAGTATACACAATACCGTTGACGTTATTACGCTCCTCGTAATTCTGTTGTTGTATTGTATATACAGTTCATGTGTATCATATTTTTAAATTTAAAATATATAAAATCATGACACCTCTTTTCAGACAGTCTTAAGTCTGTATAAAGTAGGATGGAATTTGTGGTGTACAAAACCGGAGCCGTTTTTTGTCCAGAAGCATAACTTTATAAGAAAAAAAAATACATCTTTCTACGATTCAATTGATTTGATGAAAAATGTTGAATATAATATTTCCAAAATACCAGGAAACGTCGGAAAAGCAATTCAAGAAAAATTTCGAGCTGTTATAAAGTAAAATAATGGCTATGAAACCTTGATAAAAATCTCTGCATGTATTGACGGAACTAATGGAATTTTGGAAAATAAAGAAGACAATTTTGGTCTCAGTGACTTATCTCTTTTTAAATACGCTCCCGTCTCCGCAGAGAGAAATTTTTCGAGGTTTAAAAATGTGCTGGTTAATAATCGACGATCTTTCACATTTTAAAATCTGAAAAAAACATTCGTGGTACAAGGTAACTCGAATGCTTTTGGTATGTATTTATTTATGTTTAGTCAAACAATTTATTTAATACAAATATTTTTAATATTAATTTTTCAGACTGAAATTAAAATATATTCAAATAATTTCAAAAAATAAATATAAAAATAATATAATTTTATATTAATACCTATATAAAAAAATAATGCAAATAAAAGACTTTTTTAATCAATTTTTTTTATTTTATAGGGCATATTCCTACAAAATAAGAGCATAAATGCATTTTTTTAAAGTTTTTAAAACATTAATCCGAGCCCCAGTTATAAGTTATGTAATATATAGAAATTGTAGAGTATATATTTATTTTATCTTTTTTATTTCATCATAATATTATAATTGTTACATAAGGGCATATGGCCCCTACAGTAGTACAGATGCTCTTACTATTATCTATTTATTCAGATATGTTTTTTACGCCGGTTGTCATTTGCGCATCGCTATTGTTAATTTAGACCTTTTTTGTAAGACATTTGCGCATCGTTCGATTTTTGGGTTATATATCATTTGCGCATCAGCCGTTTAAAAGGTCTTACATCATTTGCGCATCAATATTATTTAACAATAGAATTTTAAAAAAGGTGTACACCCAAAAGTGCTAGTTGTTTTCTAACTTTGATCTTGAAATTCATTCATCAACTTTCAAATATTGTACAGATATTTCTGTTTTAAAATATGTTTGACGACGCATATGGTAGAGAGAAATGGAGAGATTTTGTGATAGCAGCGATGGCACTTAATGGGCCGATAAGCTGAGAATATTGAGATAATATTGTGTAGGATTATCATTATAGTTAGCAATAACATAACTAAGATAAAAAAATTGTTATGCCTCAATAAAAATTGATGAACATCGAAGATTTATTCAATTTATTTTAATTATATGGGTTTGTTTATTACATGTGATTTATGAAAATCATTACATTTTCAATAAAAAACTATTTTTTATACAATTCTATTGTTCAGCATGTTGATGCGCATTTGATGTATAATAATTTTGTGCAGGTAAAAGTAAAACGGACAATGCGCAAACGATAATTAGCGCTGATGCGCAAATGATGTACGATATTTTGGCACAGGTAAACAGACGATGCGCAAATTCAGTTTATTTTTAACAAATTAGTTTAATATATACGAAGATAATATTAAACGAAAGTTTCTTAAATGATAATACATTGAAAAAAAATGAATGAAGATTTAACGATCAAAGTCCGGATAAAAAACAAATGCAAACATAGTCAAGGCATGGGGCAATCATATTTTAATCTTAAACATCTGTTGAGCTACTGCATTCTGATTCTTTCAACAATCTTAAAATCAAATTTGGAGAAGTTTTCAAATAGGTAAAAATATGAAAATCTAAGTAGGTAACTTCTATTTGTTGCGTACTAGTTACTCTTTAATGATCAATGCAATATGTAATTTAAAAGTGAGATTATAATTTATAAGCGCATTACTCTTAACTAAAAAATATCTTGGTAATAATTTATCAGTAAATACTAATCAGTAATCACAAATATTATTACCTATACATTTCAATAAATTTAATATCTATTTTAATAATATTAACAAACTATACGTACATAACTTAAAAAGCACAAAAATTTCTTTTGTCACGAATTGAATACCTAAAATTTTTAAATATAATATAGGTAGGTATTTTAGTATTTATATAATTATAATAATAATTATTATTGAAAAGTTAATAATTATAAAAGTGGACAAGTTGGTAACCTTTGGGTATCATTACATGTACGAACAACGATTTTGATCGGAGTCTGTTAACATATATTACTAAGTATATTTTGTTTTATCTTAATTTGTTTTACTATTTAGTAATGCAGTTACAGTAATAGTTACACAGTATGAAGCGAGTCACTAAACACCTACCTACTGGCTACTTCACAACAGAGTGCTACCTATTTATACATATTTTTTTTGTATTTAGTTATTTCATAAAATATAAGGTATATTTATATTGAAATACAATATGATGAATAGGTACATAGCATAATTATGGCAAGTACTCTTCATTGTTTTTTTTTATTCAGAGGATGCCAGGGTTTGTCTCATCTCAAATAATTGTATGTTCTGAATAATTCATTAACTTTGTTATGTTTAAACTTAGAGTAATTTGACCTATTATACAATTTAAAAGTTATGTTAAAGACAATGACATATGGTTTTTTTTATTTCAATTTTAAAATAAGTTATGAGCATTTTAATGTGTGCAAACAATTTACTATTTTAAAACACTAATAATTAACTTTAAAATTGGAATATAAAAAAACTTCTATGCCATCTACTAGATAATATTCTTACTTCTAAATTATATAATAGGTCAATTTACTTTAAGATTAAACATAACGGACTCAAATGAATTATTTAGAAAGTACAATTCATTATGTTGTGAGTTTGTAAGATGGAGACAAGGCATGTACCTAGATATGGCGTCCTATTAGTTAAAATAATAAAATTGTAAAAATGTACCTACAATGTATTATTATTTAATATACCTCATTAAGCAAAGCTTGTGGTGTAGGTGGTTGTATAATATCATTCGTTTTATCCCCTTATGCTGACATAATATTGTACCTACCTAATATTATTTCACTTAAAATCACGGACTTTTTATTGGTCTTCTGATGAAGAGGTGATCATATTGTTATTTAAATTATCAACCACATACCGATAATACGGTTGTACGTAACTCATTATTTCCATATTAAAATATGTATGGTAGGTGTTATGATAAGGTAACACTGTAATAATAATAATAATAATTATATCACCACTACATGTTATCATATTTAGCAGTTAGTATTTTGTTATAAGTTATAAGTCGTTGAGTGTCAACGTAGTATAATGTATAAGTAATGTTCATGTCATACAATAGTATTATAACAGTGTCATAGTTTATTTAAAATATATTAAATACAACATGGTGTCAGGTGTTGATTCATTATGGGTCGAAAAAAGAAGGATCAAGCAGATAAATCTGGATCACAACATGATGAATCAGTAAACGAGCCGCATCAAACCACGTGCGCTAATATCCAAATGTCCACCAACACAAACACGATGTCGTCAGGTCTCATTGGTAATTTAAGCCAACTATCCTTAGATGGAAATTTATGTCAAAATTGGTCCGATTGGCTTCAAGAGTTTAATATTTATTTAATTGCGAGTGGCTATGATAGCCAGCCCGAAATACGAAAAATATCAATATTTTTACACTTTATTGGTAAAGCTGCTTTAAAAATCTATAATTCATTTAATGTTAATATAAAAGAGTTGACATTGGATAATCTAATATTCAAATTCAATGAATATTTTATTCCACGTAAGAATGTCACTGTGGAACGCCATAAATTTTTCACTCGGTATCAATTACCTGATGA